TTTTACCCCCCCCCCCCCCCCGAAAGAACAACGTACCACGGCCGAGCCAAGCGCTTTGGCAGCAAACGGTAGAGGATTGAATGGAGCCCTTTTTAGCTCTTTATGGTGACGTTCTGCGGACTTTTCACCTTCAAATACTATCGAGCGCTGCTGCTGCTGCTACTCGCTCCGTTCATGGCTATGAATAAGCAAGTCCAAACCCCCAACAAAAAATCGAACGTAAGCAACGCTGATTTCACGTACTAAAGACCAAACCAACGAACACATCCTTTCACAATTCCATTCGCTTTAACAATTATATTCTACCCCCCAAAAAAACTCGAACGTACCCAACGGTTTACTTCACATTGTCAAAGATACAACAACAATGAACATCTTCTCTTTCGATTGGATTCCATTGGATTTGATTGGAGGCAGCCTACCTTCGTCCTGGGTCTTAGGTGAGCAATACTGCGGAGGAACTCCAGGGAGTGGGCCTTCTTCGCCAGGGGATAGGTGGAAGCTCCAACAGTCCCGTCCGGCTCGTAGACGCACCCAAGCACCTGAAGGAACCAACACCAAAAAAAAACCAAGGGCAAAGAGGAAGTGACTGTGACAGGGTAGTCGGTTGGGGAGAGAGGTTCACAAAGAGGCTGGAAAAAAAAAGGGCTGGCCAGAGAATAGAAGTAGCGGGTAGAAGGTGAGAGGGAAGCGGCCATGGCAAAGAAGTGGATTGCGGAGGGAGGATAAGGCTGAAAAACATATTGGCCAGAGAGCCAAAGCAGCTGGTACATGACGTGTCAAAGGTGTCAACAATTAAGATTCACACGGCAGTCGCCGCCAATCTCCAACACGTTCGTTGATATCACGCCCCGAAAAAAAAAAAACGTGTACCCTTTTCTATACAACGCCTCGTCGGCCTACACTCTTGTCTGTACCTTTCTTTTCTACACATCTCCCTTCAACATTTTTTTGTTCATCACTGCTGTAAATCAGAGCTCACACACAGCTCACAGAATTTCTGCACAAGTAGGAGCTCTAATCCCGTGGTCACACACAAGGGTCCCTCCCCCCGAGGTCCCTCTTCCACCCCTTGCCCTTGGTAACTCACAACGTGACCGGCAAAATCCTCACCGCCTGGGCGCGAATAAGAGTTGAAAACCATCAAGAATCACGCTGTCGTCGTCAAAGTGTCGTGAGCTACACAAGGTGCACAAGGTACACACAAGGTACCGCCCCCCTTCGGACACGGTGTGCCCCGTAGCCAACTCGAGTTTACCAGTCTCGCCATCAGCAACGACAGCTCCTCCGGCGACCTTAGTCTTCCTTCCAACAATGAGCTAAACCCCTGACCAAGGTGGACGCGCGAGGCACTCTCGAAACGCGACGCGACGCGACGCCTCAGCCATGCCATGTCCCGTTTATTCTGCTCAATTGCCGTTACGTTCACCACCTTGCGCCCACTTCAGTAACCCAACTATACGAAAACACGGCAAGGGTTGATACCCTACCTTCCTCTGAAGCAACACCACGACAGTCCGTAGGTGTGGATTTTGCCCTCCGTGCGTCCAAACCACGGCAATCAATAATGTATGCATACTTGCTGATCGTTGTGAATTTACTTCCAGCACATTTATTATTGTTCTGAAATTGTGCCCACCTCGACTTCGTCAGCCTTGATCTCCACGTCCTGCCCCTTGCCCTTGGAGGCAACTACCGTCCCCAGCACCGACACGGACGCGCCCACTCCCCCGCAACTGGCGGCCGCGTCGAATCCAGGCGCTCCCTTCGACACCACCACCTGAGAGAGACGGCATGCATGTTGGCATGCATGTTGGGGATGCGCGCGCATGTCTTTGCGTGTCTTCGGCGGTGCTTTTGTCCTCATTTTTTTATTTACCTAAAGTCAAGACAGATTTTTCAGGATGTGAGTGTGAGGACAACGTCCAGGCCTGTGAAAAGGAAGCTTTCCGCGGGAAGTTTTGTTCGACGTAGTGCTGTTTCGAACGGGTTTCCGAGCGATGCTGTTGAAATTGAGCAAGGCAGGAGGGCCCTTATCTACACGAAAAACACGGCACCGCCACAAGCAGGAAGAGCACGAGACTGCTGACGGATGGAAGCGACTCCGCTGTTGTACACGGGACCTGTGTGTCATTCGGACAGGGAGACAAGCACTTGTTTGATTGGTCCAGAAGAACGCAGGTGCAAAAACAAGGGCTACTTTTCGCCCCTCCCCTGGCTGCCCCCCCCCAAGCGCCATATTCAAACACCGTCACCCCCTCCAACCCCCAAGATGACGTACCATGCCTTCCAACGACAACAACATACAAGCACCGCCGAACACAGAAACAGCACCGACACCACAGATTCCACCCAAAGCACAAGAGACTGGACCAACACTACAAGCGAGAGCTGCTAAAAAAAAAAAAAAAACGAGTACAAAAAAAATGTAGGGGGCACCGTGCTACGTCTTCGTTGCACGAATACAAAAAAGTCGATATTTTTCAACGGGGTGGAACACCTCCACCGCCGCAACTGCCAACGACGTACCATCTCTTCCATATTGCTTCCAAAAACGAACGTGATACCGCTACATACAACAACAGCTCTGTCGAAGACACCAACAGCACCAACACCAACACCTCCCATCAATCACAACACCGCTGCCGCAAGCCCACCTGCACCGTGCCCGAACAAGACCCGTCATCCACCACCAGGAACAGCAGAGCCCCCTTGCTCGCCGCCCTGGCCGTCCTCAGCCAGCCCTTCACCACCGCCTTCTGCCCCACCACCGACGTCCCGCTGGCCAGCAGCTCCCTCACCCTCACCCTCTTCCTCCTGAACCTGGCCGGCGCGACCTCGAGACGCCTGGAACCCTGGACCACCGACGCGCTCGACATCAGATCTCCGCTTTCTCCGACGACCGGAAGGGGCTCATCCCCCGCGGCACCGGCCCCCGCACCCGCCGCCGCTCCCGCCGCGGCCTTGACAGCTGCCGCCGCCGGCGGCACCTGCTTTTGCTTCCCCTGTCCCTTGGCCCCGGCAAGCCCGCGCGCGGAAGCAGCGGGTGCGGGTGCCGCCGCCACCGCCGTTGCAGAGAATGCGGGGTGATGGGTGACGGTTCGGTACCACCGCAGGACGTGGGGGAGGCCCGCCAGATCTCTCGCGCCGAGGGATGCAGCCCCTCCTGCGACGCTGCCCTCGATGAGATCTCTCGCGGCGCACGCGAGGCCCACGTCCGCGATGGTCGTGCGCTCGCCCACCAAGAAAGTGCTGCACGCGTGTTTCGTGTTTCGTGTATCGTGTTTCGACAACAAGGGGTATAGAATGCGCCGAGGATGTTTAAAAGTAACGGTTCAGAATACTTACTAACCGCCACAATTAAAATATGACGTGGAATTAGATCTATCGCGCTTATCGTTGGAATCATGAATTCATGCACGGTCATACAAACAAATAAATAAATTGGGGGAGCGGCAGGTAAGAACGGTTGTGCACGATGTTGGGCCGAGTGGGAGCAAGGCGACAAGCAGTGGCACATGTATGAGGGAGAGATTTGACTGAAAGGTAGGGGAACCTTGACTAATCAATAAACACCCCCATTGAGAGAAAAAACACGCGTACACACGATGGGCGTGAGAGCGAATGAAAACCTGAAGAACTAAAAACAACCCGCGAAATGGGGGGGGGGGGAACAACGGACGCCACTCCCAGAGCGACCAAACGAACTTACACTCCCCAAATGACAAAAATGGAAAGCTCACGTGAGCATAAACGGCACCAAGCAAAGGAACAAAGGCTCACAAGGACAGGTCTGAAGCCGTGCCCCTAACCCAAACAACATTGACTACAAGCAAGACGCCATTCGCTTGGGACCTCTTGCACAGGCCTGCCGTCCCCTCGAGGTAGGTATCTCCCCTCCCGACGCAACACCCCTTTCGTGTTGGGTCAACCAACCCGTTCCCTCGCAAACGGCTGAACACACCTCGTAGAGAGCGTGGCGTTGGCCGTAGCCAGGAAGGACAGCAGGTGCCGCTTAGCCTCGGCGATGACGGCCTGGTTACCCGAAGCCGCCGCTAGCGCCTGCGCCGGGACCTCCAGCTCCTTCCAGCACGTCTCTAGCCACTGGTCCGCCTTCAAGACAAGACGAGACAAGACAAGACAAGACAAGAAGGGCGCAGAAAAGGCTTGACACGGCTGTTGTGCTCCGGGCAAGAAAAACAAAAAACGATGTGGAAACCATGTATGTATGCATATCGCGCCTTCGGGTGGACGTCTAGTGAGTTGTGAGCACTATTACATGGTCTCGCTGGTCTGGTCATGGACGGCGAGGTACTGGTGTCGTGCCGGTCAGTGACCTTCTAACTCCAAACGATATTCTAACATTGTACCACGAGAGGGGGCCAGCGGACGGTTTATTTGCGATTGAAGTTTCGTACTGGAGTGACACAAAAGAACCGGATACTGCATGTATCATTGATCGCTTGAGCGTTCTCTCGTCCCGCTCAGAAGAGAGGCGTACACTCGTTTGTCGTCTGCCCTATTTAGCACGGTCGTCGATGTTTCTAAAACACACCCACACACACACAACACACACACCGAGGGAGTCTCTCCCATGACCGGGTGTCGGCCATGGTTCTTTCCAAGAGCTTACCGATTAGTCTATAGCCTCATATAGACTGGCGTCTTTTCATTGGTCAGCCGGCTAGCGCGGTCGGTGTCAACAACAACGACACACCCACCAGACCTCCCTCCATTTCAATGGTCAGCCGGGTCACGTAGCGCGGTGGGCGTTCACAAAACACACACACACGCAAAAGACACAAGCCGTGTTCTTTGTCCCGCTACAAGACTGACGTCCTTTCATTGGTCGGCCCATTAGCGCGGTCGATGCTAAAAAAACAAACAAACAATAAAAACACCCACCTGGGCCGACTCGAACTCGCTCCTTCCGTACAGCGAAGAGTCCGCCTTCGCCATCGCCAGGGTCCTCAGGATGGCGTTGCTCTGGGTCACCGCCTCCTCGCCCCCAACGGGCGCCGCCTGCCCCGGCCTGCAGACCTTGAGGACAAGCCCCTTGGCCAGCGGCGCGAAGGCCTCCATCTCTTCCTCCGACATGCCCGTCTTGAGGTCGAGGTCGATCCCGGCCATGCTGAGCAAGATAACGATGCCAAGGTAGTTGTGTGGTCCGATATGGTCGGTTTTGGAAGTTACATGGGGTGGCAAGGGAAGGCGTGAGGTAAGGCGAGGAAAACGACATCTTACGCGATCGGATTCATAAGTGGGCAGGTGCGGGAGGAGGAAGACGTGCAAGGCGGGGCGATAAAGGGGGAGGGGGACCATGGGGGCACAGCAAAATATATTTGGCAAAGCGACGAGGGGAGTTACGTTGGGCAGTTGGGGGGAGGGGGGTTACTGCTCTCGAGGGATAGCGCTCTTCTGTCATCCTACATGTAACAACACGGCCTTTCATCAGTCGAGATGTCGGGACCGTGACATGTACTGGAAACTCCGAACCGCGAACGGTCACTTCCAAATACCACCTGCTGGGTCCCGCTAGCTGATGAACTGGAAAGTCGGCCCCCCTTGTCTCTATCCATTCGCTCTTGATCCTCTCTTGAATAAATACATACTTATATCAATATAAAATAATAGGCATGTACCTGGCACTATTTTTAGAAAGTATACATGACCTCACAAAAAGACCACCCGTTCGAGATTATACCACAGTCGAAGGGGATGTGTTGAGGTCTTTACAGCAGTGAGTGAAGAAACCGGCTGGATACTGGGCTTGTCACTATCGGATGTGAGTAATCCTCCGCAACCAACACAAAAAATAGGTTGCGGCGTGGCAGACATGATGAAGCTCGGCGGGAGCAGCATGCGGCAACAGCAACACAAAACCACTTTTCCGGGAAATGCGCTTGTTGTTCACATCAGCGTTCTCCACGTGAGAAATCTTATAGCGCGTATCGATATACATTTGGCGCCACGTAGAATACGACAACCAGTACCCAGCTACACAGTCGATGTGTTTGCTGTAGGAACAAATGCGGATTCTGATCGCAAGCACATGTAGGGGCAGCTAATTCAGCGATAAGGTGCTGGGGCTGTGGCACACGTTGCCGCTGGATAATCAGCACGCTTCACCCCGACCGTCGTTGCAGAAGACAAAGGTAGCCGATGCACTCCTGTGTTCAAATCTAGACTAGTTGTCTGCTGTTCACATTTCGGTTGGTGGCATGCGCTCGCTTCCACAAGGGCGACTACAGCACATACAGCTATAGATTTCCACAAGAACCACGATTTGTGGCCGAAAATGGTCTGTCTTTTAGCAACACCCTTTCGTTGCCGAAACAGACGCGTTTGTTGCGAATGCACAGCGATAAAGACGGCCTCAGCAACCACGAGAACTCATGTGTGCACCACCCTCTTGATCGTTGCCACGGTTGCGGCACGCTTGCTTACCGTGCCACGACGCAGATCTTTCGGACGCGGTAGTCTTGCTGCTCGTCGCTGGCACTGGACCACAGCTCGAAGCCGATCCCGGAGCCGATCAGCGGCAGCGCAGCAGCATCACCCGCCATCGTTGTGCACTCAATCCTTTCAGTCGCAGGATTTTTTCTTGCAGAAGTCGGCGCCCGTGCCTCTGTACCTTTCCGCTGTGCTCTCTTTCCCTTCGCGCTGTAAGCAAACACGATCAACTCTGCACCTTGTGTGCAACAACAACTAACTGCATTGAGGAGACTGCCGGGGTTCCGCAGAGCAAAATAATGGTATGCAATTTCCTTGTGCCGGTCGCGATACCCCTTGCTACGCCAGTTTGCGCCAATTGCGCCAGTATTTCGTTGCGTGTGCAACACCACGCACTCGTGTGCACTGGGCAGCAGCGGGTACATTTGTGGCTGTGAGGGTGGGTAACCCTAAGTTCCTCGACATCGAGGCTGTGGCCGTGAGATTCTCTGCAAGAAGCAGCACCGCTGTGTTAGCACCGTACTGCAACGGCAGCACCAGACAGTACACGCGTGTTTCACGTGCAGCTACTGCTGCCTACGTCCTTTCACCATGGGAACCACAAGCTCCAAGCTTCCGGGCAGAGGGTCGGGAGAAGCCCCGGTGCAGCCGCAACACGCCACCGCCAACTCTACGCCTACTGCCTGTCCGCTCGGGTTCGACAAAAAGACGAGCACAAAGGCCGAGGGGAGAGACTCGGGTCCTTCTGCCAACCGCAGCAGTAGCACCGCCGAGGCACAAGCGGCAGCGTCGTCATCGTCTTGCCCCGTCAAGACGTTGCTTCCTGGCAGCGGGGCCGGCTCCGCAGCACCAGCACCTTCCGCCGACGCTCCCACTTCCAGCTGCCCGGTCAAGGAAGAGAACCGATCGAAGGTAGCCAAGTACCTGCACCCACACAAGTACAACGTGTACAGTCAGAGGATAGACACCAGGGATGGTCTGGACCCCACCAACAACATGCCGGCCAACCCCAACCAGCAGCCGGCTCCCGGGCAGGAGAAGCCCCTGTCCACGGCGAGGGTGCCGAGCACAATCCCGAAGGGCGGGGAGGAGACCACCTGGACCTACCCTTCACCGCAGATGTTCTGGTGAGATCGTGGTACAGCACGGACCTACGTACCGCCGTACATCTGTGATACCCATAGGAAATCGATGTAGAAGTGTTGTACATAACACGTGTCCATGTCCGGGTTGTCTCGGTACTGCTGTACTGAAATTCGAGCGTCTTGGGTGCACCGACAAGGCCAACAGCCTCGCAACCATCTATCGAGGCAGATATATAGTGTGGTGCAGTAGTGCCCGACAGGCGCACGGCCAAACCCTACCATCGACGTGCACAATTAGAGAGGGACCTGACGCCTTCTGCATCAGTATCGTAAGCCATCACCCACACTACATCTGCGAGCAACGGATGCCGACACAGACATCTGCATGGCAGCAACAACACTATGAACTGTAGAGCAACATTCCTACGGTCAGCCCGACCCTGCTGCTCGTGATTCAGAAATGATTCCATCTGCAGCGTTTGCTCTGCACTAGTAGTCTACACAAACAACACCTACTATTTTCGCGTTCTCGGTAGTGTATGTGCTGCCTCCCCCCGGTAAAGCCATCGCATGCCGCATGTTGTTTTCTTGCACGGGCACTCAGGAACGCTCTGTCGCGCAAGGGGAAGGCCGATAACACCGAGGAGGGAGACATGGATATCGTCGTTTCGATCCACAACAACATGAACGAGCTCACCTGGACTAAGATATTGGAGTGGGAGAAGTTGAGAAGGTATGTGCAAGACTTGTTTTGTTTCAGGTCCAAGCAAATTACCTCAAATTTCGTTGGTCTGCTGCAGGTTAGTCTGTCTCTCTTTGACTGTACCGGTACGTGTTTTTTAAGAGTAAAACATTTTCTACAATGTATATTGCAACGCTTGTTTTTTGCACGTATCTGTTTTTAAATGGGTTTTCACAAAGGCTAAATCTTCGTTATGATTTTCCCGAAGAGTAACTTGGGTAGTACTCATCCAAGACTGACACCTCCCGCTTGACGTTGTGTTTCGTGTGGGAGGGGGGGAGCACTCATGTTTTGCATGCCTCAGCGATTAGACCGTTGACCACGCGTCCTCAAGCGGGCGGAGGATTGTTGCCAAAGGAACGATCATCGATGGCCAATCGTTCCTCCCTGCTTTGCCAAAGGTGGCTCAAGAATGCTTTCCCTGCCTATCTATCCTGTCTATGATAGAAGAGGGGCGGATATTCACTTCTTCACGTTGGGGGAGGCAGGTAGCGGCGTCTCCGCTTGCATGTTTGGCTTCACAAGGTATTGGTTGGTGCCTTGCTGCATTTAGACCGTGGTACGAGGGTTGGGATTAACCTACACAGCGAGCGTCAACCCTTCACACGACAAGCAACTTTTCACAAAACGCAGACAAGAGCACTGTAGAAGGGATGGGAAAAAAATTATCGCTGCTCCTACGTACTCGGTCGAACATGTTGTAGACTGTCAACAAACCATCCCCGATTGGCCGGCCGTACAGGAACAAGATTTTCTCTGCCTCGTCCTCGAGCGCGTTGGTCTGACACACCGCTAGCGCTGACCTCGCCTGTCGAACGCACGTGTGTCTCGCCACAATCGTGACCTCCACCTGGGCGGTGCGCGAAGTCGTGGAGGGAGCGGCGTCGACGGCGCGGAGCCCCGCTTGCTGCGGTTCTTGGGCCGCCCTAACGACACGGCCCCGAAGGCGCTGGCGAAGATGATGCTCGGACACCCGCTGCCGTTCGACCGTCACGATTGGGTGGTGGACAGGGGAGGGGACGAGGTACGAGGGGGGCTCCGCAGGATGCGGACCGGGGGGGGGACTCTGCGGAGCCGAAATCAAAACGGTTTGGCTAGTCGGCGCTGAGGTCTCAGGACAATGACCCACCTTGAGTGTTCAGTCTGGGTTTCGGACCCCACGACTATTATTTTATTGAAGCCGAAATGCAACCACTAGCCTAGTCGAAAGTGCTGACTAGTCTTTTTTCCCCGAGAATTCGGAAAGCAACCAACAACAGAAGTGTAAAAAAATGGGGACGCAGGAGGGAGAGGAAGGGACGGACGAAGCGTACTACGCTGTCTAAGCACGAGCCGATGACGGTTTTAATTTATTCAACCGTAGTGAGTGACCCCCCTCCCCTCCTCCGTTGCTGCAAACACCCGGCTGTCAGCGGCGGTACGTGATCGACTACTATTACGACGACGGTGCTGTCGATGAAGAGGGGATGCCAGGGCTTCACGCGGAAGGGGCGGTGAAATCGATCAAGGTAAGGTGATGGACTGTGCGTGCGTGTATGCACCATCGGGCCGTGCGCATTGCTTTAGAACGGCTCACTTTTGTCCTTTGTTGCTTTTCCCGGTGGCGCTGTGCTGTGAGACTTTCGGTTGGCCATCAAAAAGTGCAGACTTTTGTACCGTATGTTGCATGACGTAGGATATCACACCCCCTTGGCCGATTTTCAAAACTCGATTACTCCGCGGCGAAGAGGATGCCGAAATCAAAGGATACGTTTTCGGAGAGCTCTCTCTCGACGAGACGGTTCCAACGCCGCCATTTGTCGGCACCATCGCTGCTCTTCCCGCCTAGTAATCGAGCTTCGAAAATCGGTACAGGGGATGTGATATCCTGTCCAACCTACGGTATGTGCGTGCTTGCATATGACCATCTTGTGCGCTCGGAGGCGAGTATTTTCAACACGCCGGCCGCGCTGTGCTATTGCCGCGTACGAAGCCAGCAGGAACAGCTCTTTGCAAGCACGAAGTATTGGATGTATAAATTGACTGGTGGTGATGCTACCACTACCAAAGCTGTAGCGCAGCTTTCCAACATTGGAGTGGAATGTGAGAGAGTAAGTTTTTCGTTTTGGATCGTCGGGCTGTTCGAGTCAGCATCATGTCAGCTGTGTGAGCTTTGGATACGTCACACCGCAGCTGGCGGTGAGTTGTGAGGGGGTCCTGCTGTTAGCTGTTAGCTATTATTGTCATCTTGCATCATCACCCCCCCTTGATGCTCTCATGAACATCTACTCCTGATTGATCACTTGTAGAAATGACGCACTGATGTTGCGTGTTGGATCGAAACAGGTTGACGTTCGCCCCGCTTTGGACAGCTTCCGAGACTTGGCAGACCGATTCGTGCAGATGCCTTTCGCGCGCTTGACGGGAAGGAGCGAGTTCGTCCCGCTCAGCTTGCGCCCCTCTCCGACAATGAAAGCAAGGGTGAGTCTCTGAAATAGGTTTTGCGGTTGCTGGTGGATGGCGACGATGGACTTATCAACATTGTGGTATAGTAGTTGTCGGTGGGGGGGAAGGGGTTCTTGGTGGAGTGTCCGCGGCAGGTGGAACACCTCTGTAGCTTCTTCTGACGTCACGTGTTGCCGCTGAATGCCCCCCGCCCCGCCCCTGAAATGATTATCTCGGTGGCTTCTTCTGACTTCACGTGTTGTAGTGCCCCCCCCTCATCCCTGAAATCCGATTATCGTGCCCCCCCCCAGGAGCCGTGGGCAAAGCTTCGAATGGACCAAGGCCTCCCCTCGCCCCCTCCCGCTGCTGCCGGTGCGGGCTCAGCAACAGCAGGAAGCGCGAGCTCTGCGACGGGAGCGCCGCCGTCGACCAGAGAACGAGACGCCCGCGCTCTGAAGCGCGTGCAGAAGAAGTGCGCGAAGCCGCTGGGCGCCTTGCGTGCGGCGGAAGGCGCCGGAGACGCGGCGCTGGCGGAGGCGGCGGCGCTAAAGCTGGAGTACTGCACGGCCCGGTACCTGTGCAAGAAGGAGGCGTTGGCGTATAAGGAGGCGTTGGCGTACGCCGGGTCCTCGGGGAGCATCGTGGGGAGCGACACGGCGCACGCGTACTGGGCGGAGATGGCGCTGGAGCGAAGGCTGGAGGACATGCGAGGCGCTCTGACCGCGTTCACCGAGAGGCAGATGGAGGCGCGGCGAAGAGAGGAGGAGGAAGGCGGAGAAGGCGAAGCTTGACGCTTTGCAAAACGGTGGCAGTTCGGAGGCGCAAGCAGTTGGTGGTGTTGTGACTAGGGGACAATGGCAGTCAGAGGGGGGTTTGCGGGGTGTGTCTTTTTGGACTGGATGCTGAGCTCTTCCACGTTTGCCTGGGGGGTAGTAGCGAAATGGACGGCGAAGAGTTGTTGGAAGAACGTGAGGTCGTGGACGCGAAGACCGACACCATCGTTCACGTTATTAACGCTTTCTTGTTTCTGGGGCAGCAGTACTACTTCGTCTTGCAGTGCTGCTGAACATAAGGTACGATATGCTTTCACGCAGCATGGTCCGCTAAATAGTGTACGTTGATGACGCCTCGGTAGGTATCGCAACTTAAAATGAAGCCGGAATTTTTCGGAGCACTTCCCCACAAGACAAGGACGTTGTGGTCGTAGCCAGCACGGGCAGGTTGTGGGGCCTGCAGTACTCACGCCCAAGGCTACCAGGTTGGAGCTTGTGCCCAACCTGATCGTGCCTGTTTGTCCTGTCCACCCTACTTGTTGCAACTTTATCCAGGTTGGAGTTCTTCATCTTACGCCGCATGCATTCTTTTTCTACAACACTAGAGGACTCTCTCGATATTGTAGCAGGGTTTCCGTACTTGTGAGACACCAAACAAGTCGACGCTGCATGAAAAAAGCACAGCTCTAGAGGGACGACTTGTAGCTTGATACAGAGCTCTGATTTCTGCTCCTTCAGCTCGTGAAATGTGGTTCGTTTACGCGGGTTTCACAAAGGAGGCGACACAGTCAATTGGGGATTCCTAGTCGCTTGCCTGTCCCTGACAAAGGAGCAAACGCTACTTCGAAGTAAGTCACACTTGGCGGAGGAAAACACGCACGGTCACTAGAAAAACAACGGGGCAGACTACAATCACCCCCCCCCCAAGAAAAACATCTACGGGTACTACAACCTCCCCTATAAAAGAACAAACATGATAGATTACTTACCCTCCTAGGCCCTTGAAACTTCACTGTGAAGACATATATCACGTCGATGCTACCTGCGGTAGTTCTTCTATGGGGATACTATCCTGTCGGGCAGATGCCGTTATGTATGCACCCATCCCACAATCCATGTTACGGGGCTTTGAATCTTGGTGCATGGTTCGGAGCCCCCACCGGTCACTGTTCAATCAACATAGAAGTGCATACTCCACAGCCCGCCACGATTTCACGACAAGCTTACCGTGGCCGAGCTCGCGATGAGCAAATAAAGTGAGCAGCACCGACAGCACCATCAACAACACTGGCAACATCTATGAGAGGTTCAGAACAACCCCAGCGTTAGATCGTTGAGGGGGAGGGCCTGCGGCTAGACTACTTGGGGCCAAAAGCGAAACGTGTGAGAAGCACGGCCGTTGACGCCCTCATACACCAATGGCAAGTCGAGCAATGCCGAATCGTACGCGAAGCATGCACGATCTAGCTACTCAAATCGGGCTGGAGTAAATACTTGACGCTTTTTGTTCCCTGACAAACTTCGTCCACACATTCTGGGGGGATCGCACTCAACCTCAACCAAATATTCGGGGTTCTAGGTACACAACGTTGCTCATCAGTAGAGCTTCCTACCGGTGCAACAACAAAAACAGTCACCTGACAACGTGCCAGCAACAGGACATTTTCGTGACAATAGCAGGTCGTTCACTCCATTAGAGGTAACAAGGAGGACCAAGGCGGATCCCAACAAACGACCGAAACTGTACTACCCACAGATGATATGATAAAGGTTGGACATTTGACGCCCTTGCACGTGGCATTCCTGAGCCCGGGCTCTCAAACAGAGCTATTGCTGCCACCCCTCCCCCCTCTCTTTCACCCCCCCCGGTCGTTCTGCGGCGCTTCGTGCTTGGTGATGTGCGAGCCTACATAGTCCGGCGAGAATCCAGCGTGCCCTGTCCCGGCTTTGTTGGGATGCGAGGCCGAATGTTCAACGACTATGGCATGTGCGGCTATGTGTACACCCGTCATCTACTGGCTGAGGGGGATAAGGACGAGAAGGTGTGCCCCTCAGTATTACGGAAACGGCCTCCCGTCACCGACCAAGGCTTCCCGATGTTGCATCCTCAGTAGTCGTACACCTCCTGCCCCTCTCCCTCTCCCCCCCCCTCCTGCTCGTCTTCCTCCTCGTCCCCGACCGGGGGGGGCAGGGGAGGGGACGCCGTCGCCCCATCCCCCCCCGTCGCGTGCGTCTCGCTTCCCTGCGCCGGGGGCCCCATGGACTGCTGCACCGACGGCAGCGACCCCGGCACCGAGGGAAGAGCCACGTCGACGTCGCTCGTGCCCTCGGCCACTGCTGCTGCGGCATCGTCCGATGAAGTGTCCAGGGGGGACTGGGCGCCGGCCTCGCCTTGTCCTCCGCCGGCGGTGGCGGCGGGGGGCGCCTTGGTGGACGAAGTAGCCTGCGGGGAGCGACGGCGCGTAGCCAGCTGGGGCTTGAAGGGGCACTGCTGCGACTGGAGGTGCTCCGCGCTCTGGGGGCGAGGGGAGGGGGACAGGCGGGCGTAAATGTGAGCAGCAAGTTTTCTGTGGGAGGTTTGTTTGGACTTCGCTTGGAGATCAACGAGGAGGATGCGCGTCTCTGTGCTTGTTCTGCTTCGTAAGAGCGCTTCACCTCGACGAAATCGTCTACGAAAATGACCCCCAGTTCTCCTGAAGCCTTGAAATCGGCACACAAAATGAATTATACCACCGACGCCGTTGGTGCCATGATTCGAATATTCCCACCCCCTTCGCCAAACGCAAGGACGATGACCAGTTTCTGGTTCATGTGTGCGAAACAAGCCGGTGCCGGCAAAACCCCGGGATATTGCTCCGTCCGGGCATTACATAGGGATGGGAGGTCAATGGTCTAATGACTACGGCATGGGTTTATATGAGTACACCCCCCCTACGCCACCCCGCCCTCCCTCTCACCAGAGTCCTCGAGAACCGCTGCGCGCTGGCCTCCTTGTAGAGCTCCTCGTACACCGGCCCCTGCCTCTGCGGGCTAAGGCTCCGCCCCATGCGCGTCTTGTGAGAGGCCAGCTGAGGGGAGAAGGTGCACGCCTTCATGTCCTCCTGCACAATAAATAACACGGGCCCAGAGGCAAGAAACGTCGAAATCAGGCCGGGGCTCGACTTCCTATTTCGTCGCCACTGTCGAGCAGAGGTTGCTTATAGTAGAGCTTAGTGTAGGGTCCACCGTTGAGCTATAGTTTCACCACTATTTTCTATTTATTTGTGAAAATATGGGATGGGACCCTCTGTTTCTTGACGAAAAAAATCTTGTTTCTTGACTGTATTCACATCATTATTTCGAGAACGAAAGCGTGCCGAGGCGAGGGTGGGTGTCGAACGAAGACGGACGGCTTCTTGAATCATAGGGGGTGACGCACGCTGGAGCACGTCCTACGGGCGTCGGAGAATGCAGGCTTTGTTGGGCCACTCTCCCATCAACGTCAAGTCACTGTACATACGACGAACGGCGTGAACGTCACTCCGGAGGTGTCATCTATTGGTATTGTTGGAATTGTACCACTGCTTGTATGTCAACCGTCGGTTGTGCGTGTTTTTCATTAATGTAGCACCGACCGCGCTAACCGACTGGCTAATGGAATTATGCCTGTAGAGGGGTAACAAACCCGAACACGCTTACAGTCGAAGGGTTCTACCGACGCGAATGTGTGAATTGTTGTTTGCAGTTACATTGCGCCAGATACAAACTGGGCGTGTTGCAAAATGTGTTCACGCACGAAGGCGGGGACCCACCCGCCAACCCCGCGACCAACTGTCTGTGCAGAAAATGGGTCCCGGAATTGTTCGACGGGCTTGGGGATATAGATATACGTGACCCGTCATGCCATTCCCTCCCATATTATCCTGCAGCCATTGCTCTTGCTCGTTAGACAGGAAGATGGCTTTAGAGGGTTAAAACAAACGCGACAGGAGTCCAGGCATACACCATCGATTCACTTCATCTCTAGATCGTGTGCTCTGCCAGCGTACGCCAAGTATCCGGAAGCTTCACAAATCACTCCCAACTCTGTTTTTCCGCCTTCGTAAGAATCAAGGCCATTTCGCATGTGCTTGTGTGTATACTCGGCAGGATACAGCTCTCCGAGAACTCCGAGGGGGTTACGCAGATGTGACAGATATGAATATGATATACAGACAGAGTTGGTGCCTTTGCCTCTTCTTGCTTACGTCTGTCATTCGTAAATACAAGGAACTTTGGTCAATCCTTTCTGCAGAAACGGTCTCGACAAGAGCCCGCGAGCGTGACAACGCAGTACACGCGCCGACACCCAAAAAAAGTGTAACAGCAGTAAGAGCGTGAGTGACATATGGGAATTATTTCACCGAAAACAGAATAAAACCCGTGGAGTGAGCCTCCGTCATGAGCGAGCATGTGGGATGATGTGTCGGGTTTCACCCTTCGTCAGTGTCTGCGTCTCACCTCGCGAACTCGTTCCCTGGCGTTGGTCTTGTCGACGTGCTTGGCGTAGAGAGTGTCGAATAACGCACCGCCCCGGGACCCCGCCTTGAAGCGACTGCTCGGTGTCAGGAATACGGGGAAATAATGCGAGTCTCCAAAAAAGAAAAATGCGCTCCTTCGGGGTAGTTGGTGCGCTGTGGCTCACAGTACCAATCTTCTACTGTTGTCTGCCAAAAAACAATGTACGAATAGTTAGAAATTTGTAATTGATATGCTTGTATTATGTTGAGTAGTTCTCGCTCGTGTTTTGAAAGGGATTGCGAGTCATTTCTGCGCTAGAAGAACGACCCCCCCACCCGATGTGGTACACATTACCAACCTTTCAAGAAATGAAGCTGAGATCAGAGGAACCTAACACTATCTACCGGAACACAGCCAGTCTAAAGGATCACACACGGCCTCAGATGAATACCATCATCTTTGCGTAGAACCATGGCGAATTTAGTGGGGGGGGAAGTTGAAACGGTTTGTCGAGGTCATGATCGTCTCAGCAGTCGACATCCGGCTCACGAACACACACACGAACCTGTTCTGTGTGGACGAGACGTCAGGCTGAAAGGTGCACAGCTGCATCTCCTTAGCCTCATCCTGGTCTCGAAATGTCGCGGTGTAGTTCCTCGGAGACTGCGACCTAGCCGTCTGGTGTGTTTGACGTGGTTCGGTGGACACGGTGCCGAGAGGATGCATTAATTGTTGGGGAACCGAAGGCGAGGGAGGTCGTTCTGTTTTTCACGATCGATCATTCATAACTCAGCATCTCGATCGCGTCATCAACAAGAAGAATGAACAACGAGGGCAACACGAGCCGTACTGTAGCAACAGCAACAGCGGACCAACAAACAAGACAACGACAACAGCAACGACAACAACAACAACGTCACTATAAAAAAAACAAACCCCAGCGACAACGTGTCTTGTCGTCTTCACTTGCCTGCCTCTCCTTCCCAAGCTTGTACATCGCGTCCGCCCAAGATTCCTCCGGGTTGTCACGGCGCCGGGGCGACGACGACACGGACTTGCTCTTGAAGTGTGGCTGAAACGTGCACTCCGGGTCCACGAAGGCCTCGCGGGCCTTTACGAGCAGGACGGTTTCGGTAGAAAGTGAAATGGAAATGGAGGATACGAGTGAGACGTGGTGTGTGCATGACACGTGCTGACCGCGCTTGGCCGGAGACACGCGTGGCAATATCCTGGATGATCGCCGGAGCGCATTACCCCCGCAAACAAACCAGCACGGCGTGTTCAGCGCAAGCAGTGAGCGTAGGAAGCTAGCCACCACGACACCTCCAAAAATTAATATTGAAACGCCAAGGAAGGCACGCGTACCTGTACGACAACAACGTGCCCATCCCGAACATCCTAGCGATTCGAATCGTATCGACAGGGAACATACGCGGACGCAAAAAAAAATGCTTCCCCGTGCAAAATAGATAGGCCAGACTGCTGAGAGAAGGGGGGGGGGGGTTCCATAGGCCAAGGGGGGGCGTACCTGAGCCCGGCCCCTCGCGCTGTAGAGCCGCTCGTACACGGGCTCATTCTCGGTGTCGACGCAGAGTAGCTTCTTCCCGCCTTTGGGTACGTGTTTGGCTACGAGGGCGGGGGAGAAGGTGCACGTCATCCTCTCCTTGGTCGCCAGTTCCTGTCGACGGAGGAGGAAGGGTTGTTTGCTACGAGAAGCGTATCGTGAAACAGCAGCAGCACAGCTGGGGGCCGCAACAGTGCACCATCCCGTTGTAACAAAAAAAAGACGGTTTTGGCCGAAAATAGAAAAAATGCGATAGGAAACACACCCACCCGCTCTTTGTGCACTAGAAGGTTTGTGCTAACAAGAAAAAATGTAAGGACGTACCCAGGTGACACGCCTACAGTATTGCCAGGCGGTCTTCCTTCTGGAGCTAGGTTGACCAATGATGCTTCTTGGGAGAAAACGAAACGTGCAATTGTCGCTTGTGCGAAGTGTGCCCTCGCCCCTCATAGTCCCCGTCCCAACACACTACGACGGCAACAACAGCCTTAAAAGTCCACAACACACCACACCACCACGTACGGTAATGACCACGGCAGCCTTTACATCAACAACAACATCAAGAACCACAACCGTCCCTGCCGCGCACCTCCCGCTTGGCCTGCTTGGTCATGAGCATCTCCCCGTGGAGCCCGAAGAGCCTGTCGTGCGTGTTCGTGTTCCCCGCGGAGTCCCTTCGCCCGCTTCCCGCTGAAGACCTTCACAAGAATAAGCAAGCGTTTCAGCCAAGGATGCGGTGGCGGAGGGGGGGGGAGGACGAGGGTGGCCAGGAGCGGTGTTTCACGATGGGTACAGGGAGGGTGGTTGGGGGAGAGGAAGGGAGTTGTATTGGGAGAAATAGTAACTCTACAAGACGATAGTCTGAATACAAGGTAAGTTAGCCTTGGCTGTGAAGGGTGCGTGGAGTTGAACGTAAGGCTAACCCCGACAAAACTAGCAGTGCTCATGACGCAAGGAGAGGAGGGAAGAACAACAACATGCCACGGACCGATTCACAAGCAAAAAAAACTAACTATCTCAGAACGCTTTCCTCATGCAACAAAAATAAAACTCACCAAGATAAACGGATCAAGAACCAAGAAAAAATCACCCACCCCAAGAAAAAAAACGCTCCGGTCGCTCACCGCTTGGAGGAGCCTGAGGTGTCCGGACGGAAAGTGCAGGCCGCTAGCTCCTTGGCGGCCCTGGCCTCCTCGCGACTCTTCGCCAGCGCCGCCTGTGTCTCCGGAGTTGCGTACAGCCGGTCCGCTACCGGGGCCTGAGAGTTTAAATATTCGCCGTCCGGAGCAAGCGCAAGAACGGCGGTGCGTACGGTTGGGGATGCGGGGGATGCGCGGGGGGGGGGGCGGGGATGGCTTTAGTTTTGTTTTCATATTTTTCACAGTTGGAGAGTTAAGTTGAGGGATCGGTCCCTCTGTCTGTCTCTGTCTCTGTCTCTGTCTCTGTCTCTGTCTCTGTCTCTGTCTCTGTCTGTCTGTGTCTCTCTCTGCCTCCCTCCTCGTTGTGGCGTGAAAAAGCCACGGGTTTGGTATCTACCGTTGTTCCTGCTTTCTCAAGACGATGCTTCGACGCGCCTTGGTCGTGGTGAAGACAATAGCTTCAGCTAGTGGGTCTATCCCCCGTTTGTTGAGACTAAAAAAGTGCCGAAAACGCGACTTTCCCGCCCGTTTACGTCGGTGGCCGATGGGATTTTAAGCTGTGCTTGGGGGATTATGTTCGACAAGACGATAATCACCGACAACACAACAACAACAACAACAACAACAACAACAACACATTCAACAAATGTTTTCCTCCAAAATGACCTGCTTCCCCTTGGCAGCCAGAATCTTCTTCGTCAGGGCCTTGGTGACCACCGTGTCGGGGGAGAAGGTGCACTCCTTGTACATGGCCTCGGCGGTGGCCTTGGACTTGTCTTCCGCCCGCTTGTGCCCTTCCACCGGGGTAGTCGCCGACATCTTGGCTGCCAGGCGGCTGGAGACACCCACGGCAGCAGGCGGCGACAGGCACGGTGCGGAGACGGCGAGGTGGAGGGGGTTACGCTGCACGCCAATGTCTACGGTACAAGGTGTTCGTCGGGACAGGGGTTGGCAGTTGCCATCTACAGTGCGCTACAACGGCGGTGTTTCTCAAAGAGGTGGCACCGTCGTGACGAAAGATGAAGTGATTGAAGATATCCCACGTGCATCTAGCATGGCAACGAAACGGCGTCATTTGCAGCGCCGCTCTTTGTAGTACGAGCTGCGTGACCACCGTGATATCATTCTCTAGACCAGATGCCCGGTCACAACCCACACAACACATATTGCGGGATTTACGTGTATCGTTGCAGCAGGGCATGTGTGCAGCAAACGTATGTCAATGTCGGACGAACTCTGTCGACGGCCTACATTTCCGAAGCTTGGAGTCTGAAACAACGCTCCCTGGGCCACAGGAAAATCGGGCAACCGTTAGCTGTTGTCGTGAAACACGGTGCTTTCGGGGAGTCAAAAAATCATTTTTCCATTATGCTTTGGCAAACACGATGGTACCTACCTAGTAGCTCGTTCGGATAATATCGATATCGTTTTTTTTCGGAGTACACACACGTTCCATGTTTCAGCCCCAGCAGCAGCAGCAGCAGCAGCAGCAGCAGCAGCAGCAGCAGCAGAAGCAGCAGCAGCAGAAGCAGCAGCAACAACACCAACACCACCACCACCACCACCACCACCACCAACAACAACAACAACAACAACAACAACAGGGTGGTGCGTTTTTCCAGACCTGCTGGCAGTGGGCAGCACCGGGCGGAAGGACAACTTCTTGCTTTCCTCTTGGGCCAATCGCTCCCTCTTCTCCAGCTGCTTGTTGAAGTCCTGGCCAAGGATAGCGCAAGAATATGGGAGGGGGATCGCCGTACAGCAGGGCCGAAAGGTAGATGAGTGATCGGGAAGATTTTTAAAAGAGTGCCACACGATTACCCTCCCCCTCGTGTTGGAGGCGGGCCGCAGCACTTCATCTATAGATATCGGCATGGGATAGGGTCGTTCCTGAAGCGCGCGAGGTTCACTGTGTCGAAGCGGAATACTAGCTAGTTGTGCAGGAGGGAACCGTGTCTCAATTTACATATTTATAATTCCATGGAATAATGCGATATTTTTCACGTACCTTGTAGAGGTGGTCTGATGTAACGGCTTCCTCGGACTTTCTGCCTTTCTGCTTGGACGACAGCTGAAAGAAGGGAGGTGGCCGTGCGAAATCGCACGGACAAAGGGTCGTTAGCAAAAGCACAATTGAGACACACACACACACGCAGCTAGCTAACCTCGCACATCCAATTGTTTGCAATATGTTTCGTAGAAAATAGTCAATCACGGATTTACTACAACCCGTTTGAGACAATACCACACTCCAAGCGGATGGGTTGAGAGTTTAGAGATCTTTGAATAGGTGGGGAAATTATTCTGCTTCGAGGTAGAGATGTGCAACGCGCACCGGAAGACACGGCATACCGTAGGGCAGCTGGGGGCAGCCCCGGGGGAACCTTGTCCCACTTAAAGGGCTGCTGCTGCTGCTGTTGTGGTCGTAAAAAAAATGAATCGGCATTGCGCTGGCGTACCTGTGGTGCGAAGGTGCAGCCAGAGGTAGCGGTCTCGTCCCTCTTGGCCCTCAGCTTTTCCTGCGGGCGTGAACGAACATTCGTCTTTGTTGCTTTTCTGTTGTTGAAGGTGTTCCCAAAAGATAGCGATCCCCTTCCTCATACAATATTTTTTCAGCCCACCTTACGCTGGCGATACCGTCAGGCGAGAGCAATTGGGAGTGTGCTTTGTGCTTGTTCACCAGTTTTGAGTTTCTCAATGTTAAAGTTGCTTGCATTTTACCCTAAAAGGATCCTGAATCTCGAGATCGAGCTGTCAAGGTTAAGTCTTTCCATACACGTGGTTCATGTCTCTAAAGGCTGCTGTTGTGAGAGAGAACATCATGAGGGACTCCGTAAATCGGGCCACGCTCGTCAAGCCGTGTGCGGGGGGGGCATCATCAAATGCCGCAGACGGCAGCCGTGGGTATCAATAAACGATAATAGAAGTGCTCTTGTAAATTTGATGCTTGCAGCTAGCACCGCGAAATAGTTACCAATACGCTAAAGGGGGGAAAACGTCCCATCACCCTCGCGCATGTATCGGGAAACCCCAATAAAAGATAGCTCCTGGACCAGCCAAATACTGGTTTGATAGGAAGAGCATGTCCAAGAACCTGATTCGCTTGTGCGACGGGCTTGGTCTACAGTAATAATCACGAACTGCTGTTTGACCTCGAGGAAAATATGCGATTGAGCCCGGCCTTACATGTAGCTTATCATTTGCCAAAGTGTGAGCTACTGAGCGTAAATATCGGACAAGATGCGCGGACGTAGAAATTCAGGAGAGGTCGACACGCCTACTGTAGAACCCCTGTGTTCTCGGGGACCCGTTCCAAAACTGAGCCGATTTTATTCAGACGCTCCCAACTACTTTCAGCCCTTTCAAGCCTTCAGCTGTTGATGAAGAACCGTGAGCACGGGAGGTCAACCTCACCCTCGGGGGAGGGTACACTCTCGTTGAAAACCTACAGTAGTAGGTGCATCCTCCCACGCTCCCAGAAACAGCGAGCAACGAAAGAAGGCCGTGAGGAAACAACCGGAGCGGGGGACACTGCTGTAAAGCAAAGGAAAAATATGCCGGATGCATGTCGTGCGTCACATGTACGCTATCATACGCTTTGCTTACCTGCGTCTGCCGGTGTTTCTCATACATTTGCTGCGACCTTTCTCTCGTCGCAGGTTTGTCGGCGGATGTCGTCCGGGCCGACTCCATTCCATCTCCATCCAGTCCACCATCTTCCCTTGCCACAGGAGCTGGAAATCCGGCGGGGGGGGCATCCAAAACCTCTCCGCCCTGTTCTCCCTCGCTTGCTGCGGCCGATGTAGCGGCAGGCACATCGCCCCCAGTAGTGTCAATGGCGGCGGCCACCTCCGAAGGTCCTCCGGGCGACGACTTGTTCTTGCGGCGTCCTCGCTTGGCGGGTTTCTTGGCCCGTGGGGCCGTCTGTTGGTCAGAGTATAGAGCCTCAACGTTGCCAACACCAGCTTCGCACCCAGCGCCAAAGCCGGCGGGGTCGCCACCGAAGATAGACTCGTCGTCTGCTGCTCTTGATCTCTCCGCACCTTCCTCGGACTCTCGTCCCGGGGGCGACAGGAGTGTTCTCTCTGCTGAGGTTGACCGGTGGGATTCTCTACCGGCGGCAGCCATCATGTCTGAAATTAGTTCTTTTGCTGAGGTTGCCTCGGCTGAACTATGGCGTTCTCGCTGTTCTGGTGTGTAAGTTGTTGGTTTGTCTCCTCTCTCCTCTCTCAGCCTAGCTATTCGCTGGGGCAGGGCACGTTGTGGACTGCCAGGGCGTGTCGTAGGAAAACCTGTTTACAGCAGACAGAGACTGCACTTATAGGTTTTCTTCTTGAGTGGTGCAAGGGCAGTATCGATGTGTGATTGAACGCTGCTGTCGATGTGTGAGGTGTGAGGTACGAGGTGACGGGGTGTGGCTGGATTGTTCCGGTTCGGCAGAACCTGTTCTCATCTCGTGACGGTTACACGAGGTTATGCCGCATCGGCGCGTGGATCTTTTTTTTATTTTACTTAATATGACACAACAATTTTTTGCGTTTTCGCACACCTGTATCCGCTCCATTTCTCGCATACGACAGCGATAACCGTACACACTCTCAGCCCGGGGAGAGGTTCCATCCTTCGTGCCGGATACGTCCGCGAAATACGAGCGTTGGGGTGAACACGAAGAGTACAATCAACACCTCAAACAGAGCAACAGCGCGGTCAACAGTGGGTGATCAATGTTGTTCCGACTTCGAACATTTCTAAGCACCTTGACGAACGATTGAAGGACACAAGCCAGAACTTCCTCCTGTTGGTCACAGGGCACGCCTGAGTACCAGTGTGGAACTTAGTGTTAGCAATGACCGCCGAGGGTTGGAATCGCCACTCCACAGAGGGCTGGCGTCGAGGGCAGCTGGAGAGTTTAAAGCTCATGAGCAAGAGCCAGGTAAGCGACGCGTTATGCTGTACGGTCTGTGTTGTATGGAGTACCGTTATCCTGGTGTTTTCCGATACAAGCGGACGACAGAGTTACAGCACTACATATCATCCCAGCTGCAACACCTGCCACCATGGCATGGCGTTCTATTGGTAGAGAAGTGCTTGCACATGGATACTGCAAGAATCATTGGCGATCGAATATCTTGCACCATTCGTCCGCAGTACTGCTGTACAGCAGTACCGTGTGCAGACACTATGCATGTGTAGACTTGAGACTCCAAGCGGGGTATAATCTACACGGTATATGTAGGTACACATCATGCACGCAATGGCTTGATGTTCCCAGGCTCGAAAGACCCATTAGACTGCTACTGCCTGTAGGGGGGTGAGATACCATGACAAGATTTCTGTCACCCTATGCTTGTGGTCGGGATCAACGTGCTGTCGGCGCGACACGCCGCAGGCAGCGTTACTTCGCGCGTACGCTGTCGATCGGATCCACGAGAGAGACTCGCTGGTAGAGGCAGCCCTGGCTTTCGTCGTGAGCACCGCGGAAACGACGAGCAGCATCGGAGGCAGTGGGTCGACAAGCGCAAATGACGAGAACGGATACGACGCGAAAGCAGTTCAGGAACTGCTGGAGTGGCGAGAACGGCTCGGGGAGGAAACAAAGAATCTCGATCTCGGTGATGCCGTAGACGGTAAGAACTACTACATGAATATACACATACGTACGTGTCGAGTGTCGTCCTTTTGGAATCCATCTCGTTTTCAAGCGATTTTTCACCTGTGCTGTGCAATGCTTTCACGCGCTTTCCCGTCTGGACACTTCCGAGGGCCTTCATTGACGAAACAACTTCATCGCTCGCTCCAAGAGATTGCAATCTACGGGGCGCTATGAATGATAACGATTTCAGCATGTCGCACTGTGTTCGTTTAATCGCTGCGTGTGTCTATGAAATAGGTCGCCTGAGCGAAGAATTGAAGCATCTTAGAAAGGAGTGCCGTTTGCAGGCTCGGAAGCTTGAACTAATGCAGCACAACCTGGAGACGAGAGAAGACAAAGAAAACGAGCTTAGACGCAAGGTGAGGAAGGCGAAGAGCCTTCGGGCCGCATCTACTACACACGACATCTTCTCTTTACATGGAAATAAGTACTACAGCCAGGTAGAAGGAGGAAATGAGTAATGGCAGAGGGACAGAGCTACGTGGACAATGGGACACGTTCTTCAAGGAGTGAAGCCACTGTACGACCAAGGCCCGAGAACATTTATTAACAGCACTAGATTGTGCACACGAGTAGGGCAAGTAAATTCAGAAACACTATAAACTCCCGCATGAACTCCCGCCAACGAACCACACACATTGACCAGCGACCAGGAGGAAAAATCGCTTCGCCGCACGGCATGACCAGTGCACACTAGACAACACTGTCCAAACGGATGCAGGTTTGATCTCCTTGCTAGCCCCTAAGAGTTGACCAGGAGCGGGCGTCATGCAATCTCACACCACCGCCAGCGCAGATGGATACTGGAGCAGCTACCCTTTTCCAACCAGACATTGCATGCGGCGACTCCTCATCAACAAATGAGCCGGTACACTGTGCAGTATGTCTGGCACACACATCACAAGCTCGCCCTCCTTCGCTGCACTAAATTTTCATGCACGCCAAACGGTGGTACATTTTCCTAAATTCTCAATACACCTGTGGAGTTCTTGAGTCACAAGGCACAACCAACAAATCCGTTTGCAAGAATCAGGCATCACACGGTCTCACCCCTGGTGTACTTATTGCCGTGTGCTGTTTCTCGTATGCGGGGTCACCGTCAATTTTGTTCATGAACCAAAACTATAGGACTGCCTTAGTCACAATACCTCTCCACAAACCACCGGCCATAAATTTCGAAAGGTCAGCAACGTCGACGTACGCCGTTTCACGCTCCTCACCCTCTTGTGTATCCTCGCGTGGGCGACAAACGTCTTTTTTCAGCTTCGAAAGTCAGAGACTCTGTACTCTAAGCTGCGCGACCTTCTCCGGGATGTGCGTGAAGAGCTCGCGGCGAGAGAAAAGGACGGAGTGGTGCCGAAAGAGGACTTTGAACACCTGTGTCAGAAGTATGACAGAGCCAAGGCGAAGGTGCGGGGGCTGTGTATTGTTATCGTTGCCTACGTAGGTGGTAGTGATGATGATATTATCGACCGGTCCCAGACAATATTCACGTTTTGAATAATCACGTGTTGAATGAAGATGGCTGAAGTGAGACCCTTTCATTCGGCGGAGGAGTGCTATCTACAGCAAGCTGAACACCTGCCACTGCCCCCGGGTGTCAACTGGTGATGGTGCTGCAGATCCGAGCCCTGAAAGACGTGGCGGAGACGTTCTTGCCGGGGGACAGTCGAGACACGTCGCCCCTGCCAACGCCACGGCCTCGTGGAGACTCTTCACGGCCAGAAGACCAGGCAAAAGGCGCAGGAGGAAATATTGATCCTACCGTAAGTAGTGCGGCTCTGCGATATGGATTATTGCCTCGCCTCGACTTCCACGAACCCCTTGTACCAAGCAAATATTGTATTGATATGACCACACGAGAAAGCGTTTGTTGTTACAGGTTGGATCAGTACGGCACATGAAGATACGAGGGTAGCACGTCGTAACGATCTCCTTGTAGTAAGTGGTACAGAAACTGCAGGACATCCTACTAGCATGTGTAGGACACCACACCATACGCGATGAAAAGTACAACAACTCCGGCAACAAAACGCCAACACAGGCACTGAATAGTGACGGGTATCGGCCACTGACAACAGCGTGGCGAAAATTGTAGAACAGTACCTGACGTGTCATATCGTTACGGTAACCATGAGGTACCCAACCAGACCCTTCGAAGAGCATCGAACAAGAGAGCGACGAAGCCCCCGCTTCAAAGAATATCTTACGTATGTACTCCTGAACCGTAGGTGGCTAAACGTGAATCGGGTCCTGAGAGTCTCTTCCAGTGCTATAGCGAACCCTGGGTGAGGCGGGAATCTCACGGTGCCGTGATTGGTGCGCGGGTCGTGGGACACGAAAAAATTATAGTCTGTGGGATGTTCGACGATGCCTGACTTTCGTCAGTGTTGGGGGGGTGTACTCATAGTCGTGCATGCCATGGTTGTTAGACCATTGACCTCGCACGAGCCGGGACGGAAGACGTCGGGTTCTCACCGGACCTTGCCGGACCAGGCTCTCACATCACCGTGCGCGTCACTGGGATGGCTAAAAACATATGCCTTAAGTCGACAGTTTTGTCGCTGCAGTAGGCTGGCTATTGCAAACGGCAAAGGCACAAATCAAGGACGGTTCCGCATTATTTTCCGTCTCCACCGTGGATCGCAAGTAGACAAGGCCCGAAACGTGCTTGGCGATCTGTCAACAGATGCATCCACATTGTATTTTCAGCGAGGGTGCACCGACCGGTCGTACTCGCGTGCTTCATTAGCGGGCAGTTGTGCGCTTGTTTTCTTTGACTACGATCTAAAGCGTCTTCGGGGTGGAACAACAACAACAACGTACGGCACCAGCAGAGTGTCCAAGACCAGCATCGACGAGTGATATTCAGTAGATACCTGACAAGATGTGCTTCCCTCTTTCTGTTGACATTGCTCCAGGAACTTCTTCATGGCGACCGTGTCAGCAATGCTACGGGGGAGGCTCGCAACGAAGAGCCCAAGGCGGATTCGGCAAAGGCGGCCGACAGCGGCGGTCCAGTGGAGGGCAAGGCGGTCGCGTCGACATTGTGAGATGTTCAAGAAAATGTTTTCGACATTTTGCGTCGAGGGCGGGGGTGAACGCGGCGTTTGGGTCACGAAGCGTGCGCCGCTGGGGAATGAGTAGACAAGTGCTGGATTGATAGAGGAGCAAGGTTTTAGGTGCGGTCGTTTAAACCAGATCTCACGAAGAAAAATAGGTTCTCCTGTGGGACGATCGGCATGCACGTGTCTCGCTTGAGACGGTAGACGACAGCACAGCTTCATCCGAATATCACCCACTCGCGACACATGCACGGCGCGTGGAATGACCTTCGCGTTTACGGTCGGTCGGCTTCAACAGCGACGCCGCAGGTGGTGGTAAGGAGTCGTCGTCTTCGGCTGGCGATGGTGGAAGCGACGGCCGTGACAACTCGGGGGAAGCGGTAGCGACAAAAGGCGAGGAGGACAACGGGGGAAACGGCGACGAAGCGGAGGAGGCTGCGAGCGTGGAGGTGGTGGTGGAAGAGAAGCGGCTGTTGCGGCTGGAGCTGGACGAAGCCAACAGGAAGATGGAGAAGGCCAGACGAGGGAGGAAGGCCGCCGAAAAAGTGCGTGCGTCTCTACAAGGGGAAGGACGGTGCCATCTCGTAGAGAGGAACGCGTCGCCTATTTCATTCTAGACGTCAGTTTTGACACCGCTCGGTATGTTCGCATGTCTAGCATGTATTTCTGTGTGTCACCTAAAACATTCAGACGTTAGGTTTTACACCTACGACCCGGTATGTGTTCCGGGTGCATCAGCCAGGGTCGCGCAAGCGGCAAGGCCACGAAAGAGTCCTCCTTCTCCGTTTGACCACACGTGCAAAGTATTGATAAATCTCAGTACGTGCGCCTCAACACCACAGGAAAAGGAGGGGCTAGTGGGGGCGATGGCGACCGAACTGGGAGAGCTGGAGAAGGCGAAGGATGGACAAATTAGAGTGGCCAACCGGGAGGTATGTATGATGTGGTCGAGAAGCAGGAAATATCACGGACCATAACTTCATTTATGCTTCGAGGCACGGAAGAACCGAATGAGTAATTCTACTCCAATCACGTGATAATTGTGACGAGTTCGAGGCTCGTCCGACACGCCAGTACGATCGTTCATGTCGTACAACTGTTGTGCTACCGGTAAATTGGGGGATGGCGCGCACAATCGTGTGCGTGCGTGCGGTCGACTTTGAAATCGCTTCTAAGGTTCGCCCGATCTGACCCCTGTGTGGACTTGGAAACTTATCAATCATTGGGTTTTCTGCTCAAACGAACACCCCTTGCGCGAGGTAGTCAGTCATTGTGCCTTCACTTCACTTTTTCCGAATGGGCTGTCTATGGGTTCTCGAACCGAGCCTAAAAGAAGCGGAGCCTCGGGTACTCCTGGAAGCACTTCCGTCGTGTACACACACGAACTTCTTGGAACCGCCGACATGGCTTAGGCACAACTTGTTCCTCTTGGCGTGGTGTGCTGGTATCGTACGAATACTATGTACCTCGTGGTCACGGCCGTAGAAAAATATATCTGCGGGGACTCGGGAGCAAGCCGACCACAGGCAAGGCAGAGCTACCAACGGTATTTTTTACAGCAACAGAGGTTAACTTCTTCGCCAACTAGACAGCAAGTGTTCCTAACTGAACGCGCAACAGGTGAAGCGCCTGAGGGCACAACAAGAGCGCAGCCAGCGCACCGTTCGAAAGCTCGCTAGCCGAGTAGAGGGCGAGAGGGCCGCGTTCCGCGGACTGGCTGTGGAGGTGAAGAGCCACCTCAAAGCGCTCCCAGAGGCCGCTACCGCTGCTATCCGTGCTGTGCAGGCGAGCTGACGTCGAAGTATGTCATGAAGTGTTGTGATGGTGTGATAAGTCTAGCTGAAACAGAGGTCCTTCACAAATGTTGGTGTAATAACCGGTTTGATTGGGTGGTAATCCTGTATAAACAAACGCAAACCTGAAATGGGCGACAAGCATGTGATGGCGTGTAAGCGTTCTGTTTTCCCGACTCTACGTCTATTTCTTCAATCACTTCGGGTTTAACGATACGTCCCGCGATAACCCCGCCACGCATGAACAAATCCCTTCATGTCCTGTGCCGATTGCAGTCCTAAAGGGTGAGATACAGTCGGCGGGGGAAACATTTATTCGTTACCCCACCTTTGAGGAAAGTCGCGGTACCGGAAAATATACTTCTCTGCATACTCGCTCAGGTTTTGCCACCGTTTCGAACTGCCATGCCTTTCCAAGCTCCCAGCGAGGTACGGCTCTCTATTTCGAGCACAGCAAATGTTCTACTGTGAAAAGATGCGTGTTTGCTTCACATGTGCACGAAAATATTGTCGTGACGTCCTTCTCGTTTTCGTCGTTGCCGTTGTCGTTGCTCGGTGCAGTCTCGACTCGACGGAGTCGACGGCCTGGTGGCGGACATGCGGAAGCAGTATGCGCGCGAGTATCGAGAGAGGCGACGCCTGTTCAACGTCGTGCAGGTGAATAAGTGGCGGCAGGTAGAGTACACACCATCCACCCATGTTCGATAAGGTTCCGAGAGAGGTCAACACCGACGGCGCAGTCACTCCTGCCGACAAAAAAAATCAAAATGCTGAGCTCATCTAGACCTTTGCCTGCTCCCCTAGCCTAGACATTGACCTCCCCTCCAAGAAAAAAACATGTCTGAGCCACCTTCGGCAACGCAGGAAGGAACGATTGGCCATCGGTGAACATTACCCCGTCCACTCGAGGGCGCGCGGTCAATGGCCTAACCGCTAAGGCACGCGAAACATGAATACTCACAACATCGCACTTGATATTTCGCGTTCATCTCGTGCACACACTCAGGAACTTCGGGGCAACATCCGAGTGCTGTGCAGGTGTCGGCCGCGGACGGCACACGATAAGGGCGGGGGGGTCTGCGTGTCCTTCCCAGGGGAGGGGGGCATCGAGCTGGTCAACGAGCGGGGCAAGAGAAAGGCATGGAAGTTCGACCAGGTGCCCGAAAACAATATCGTTTTGCACACAGGGAGCACAACCATGCTGCTTCCAACGGCGGTATCCACGTTCGTGTATTTTTTTATTCTGAAAAATACCGCGGGGGTGCCTGTGTTTGACCTAGCGGTTTCGATGTTTCCGCCCCACCCTGATGTTGGTGACTCTGACGGTAGTCATTGTTCCTGCGTTCTGCGAAAACACAATACCTCAGTTTGCCCTTGTCTCGACCGCTTGTCCAGCCGGTCCAATCGCGGATGCTGTCTGGCCGGTCATTTCGGCGAAACTTCAAGCGAACAATGACCTCGTCGACAAATGCCAATAGATTGTAGCTAACGTGCTTCTACCTATTTGGTTGCTTCTTCGCAAGGTTTTCGGGTTGGAGGCCCGGCAGGAAATGGTGTATGCCGAGGTTTCTCCTCTCGTCATCAGTGTCCTGGACGGTTACAATGCCTGCATCTTCGCCTACGGCCAGGTAGGCCCGGTCGACGTTCTAATAAGCCGCACAAACACGACGCGCACTGTCCAAGCTGATTTCCAGCTGCGTCACCCCCCATGCCGCCATCGCCACTTGGGGGAAGACCTGATGTGCAGGAATGGGAGAGAAACCTTGGAACTCAGTCAGTAAAGACAACAATCATACCTTGTCTTGCCCTCGCAAGGGGTCGAAATTGGAGCAACACGACCGACACCATCGAAACGCCTCGAAACTACATTATGCATGCTGACCTCACCCTAAATGCCCCGGCCATGCGCGGAGGCTACATCTTTGGTTTTGTGTCCGTCTGTGCGGAAACGAACCGCTCCTTTCAGACCGGTACCGGTAAGACGTATACGATGATGGGGCCGCCTCGCGATCGCGGGGTCAACGCGCGCGCTCTGGGGGACCTGTTCTCTCGCAGTGCCGCACGGCGGGGAGAGGTGAGCAGCCGCCACGGGTAGAGGAGAGGCGCGGAGCCACGGAACGCCTGCTCGGGTTTTCGGGGACAATTTCGGAGGCTGTGTTGGGGGGAAAGTTTCACACCCTGTACAAATACAAATAACAAATACAAATAACAGTTGCGTGTATTGGTCCAGGGCAGTATTTGCCTCCAGACAAATATTTGCGCAGGTTCTCAGGAGAGTATTTGCCTGCAGGCAAATATTTGCGCAGGTTCTCAGGAGAGTATTTGCCTGCAGGCACATATTTGCGCAGGTTCTTAAGAAAGCATTTGCCTGCAGGCACATATTTGCGCAGGTTCTCAAGAAAGTATTTGCCTGCAGGCAAATATTTGCGCAGGTTCTCAAGAAAGTATTTGCCTCTAGACAAATATTTACGCAGGTTCTCAAGAAAGTATTTGCCTGCAGCCAAATGTATTTGCGCATGCGGAGATATTGACCTCTTCGGCCTACAAGTGCGTATGCATGTATGCACAAATGAGACCGTTGAGCCCGGTGTATTTGCAGCCGCAAATATCAATGGGTGTTTTTTGGGCCCTTGATTATTCTTGTTCTTTGCCACAGGAGTTGACTCATCCAACGATACGGAATGAGTGAGATGGTGGAGGGGTTGTGGCGTCGGCGAGTGTGGCCGTGCGTGGCTGTTGTAGATTGATCCTGTTTTTTTCCACCCCGATCAACGGATATTTCAGATGCACGCTTCAGCGATGGGCTTCTGCATTTCCGAGACCAATCTCCCATCGCATGCATGACATGCGGCTAGTCTCTCCCTCCGACTCTCCCCGCAGTACCAGCTGTTTTTTTCAAAATATTTGTCAGGACAAATACAATAATATTTGCGCAGGTTCTCGATAAAGTATTTGCCTACAGACAAATATTTGCGCAGGTTCTCAGGAGAGTATTTGCCTACAGACAAATTTTTGCGCAGGTTCTCAGGAGAGTATTTGCCTGCAGGCAAATATTTGTGCAGGTTCTCAGGAGAGTATTTGCCTACAGGCAAATATTTGTGCAGGTTCTCAGGAGAGTATTTGCCTACAGGCAAATATTTGTGCAGGTTCTCAAGAGAGTATTTGCCTCTAGACAAATATTTGCGCAGGTTCTCAAGAAAGTATTTGCCTGCAGGCAAATATTTGCGCAGGTTCTCAAGAAAGTATTTGCCTACAGACAAATATTTGCGCAGGTTCTCAAGAAAGTCCGCAGGTTCTCAAGAAAGTATTTGCCTACAGACAAATATTTGCGCAGGTTCTCTAGAAAGTATTTGCCGACAGGCAAATATTTGCGCAGGTTCTCAAGAATGTACTTGCCTGCCAGACAAATACCAAATAATGTATTTGTACAGGGTGTGGAAAGTTTGGCGCACCTTGCCGCAGCACTCTAGCTGCGTATTCTCTCCTGTGCTGATGCATCACACGCCGTAGTCGTTTCATGTCCAGCCGCTCCCCACCGCTCGAATATAACGTCTGTCGCAAGGTTTAAAGTTAAGGTTCCAAATTTCTGTTTTTCCTGAAGAATACAGTGGTAGCACAACAATGTCGCCATCCCGCGTATGTATATGCCCCGTCATGCAAAGGAGAAGCTGTTGTGTTTGCTCAGAGCGCTTCACCGGCGATAGGACGGTTCCGGTGATATGGTTCTACATATGTTCTTCTCCACGAAATGGATGAAAAGACATGCTTCGCATGCATGCCTATTGAGGATTTCATCATTTGTTGGAAAACGAACTTTCTCGTTGCCCTCGCCAAAGGTGGACGATACCATCACACTCTCCATCCTGGAGATCTACAACGAGCACATCCGCGACCTGCTAATCGAAAGCACCGCCTTCGGAGGAGAGCAGCGAAAACTGGAGGCAAGCACATGGGTTTGGTGTAGAGTTGAGACGTCTCTTTCCAGCAACCGTTTGGGTCTTCGCAAGCAAGCATTGGCTAAGCACCTGTGGGTGCAATCACGACAGTAACTTGTATTCCCCGGGCACGATATTTCGACTTCACCACCAAATATCTGGCGAGAAGCTGCCACCACTGAAGTTGGTTGAACGTCGGGGGCGGTCCAAGGAGCGATAGTGTATGGCTACGTATAGTTGCCCGTCTTTGCCTGACATGTGGCAGTGCATGTTTTTTCGCTGTCGACCGGCTATCGAAAAGGTTCGGCACGGAGAACGGGGCAACCACGTCCCGGGACTCACGACGGTCACGGTTTCTACCCTGGAAGAGGTAAGGGTAAGGTTTACGATCGTAGTTGACCATCGATGCGGTTGCTGTGGCTGTTCGCTGCTTAGCATGCGTCGCTGTGGCACACTGCGGTTGACCTTGTTGACAACTGTTTGTCCCAAATATTCGTAGCCATACATACTCGAAACCCTCGGGACAAGAGATCTTTCAGACTACAGTATCTCTCGGGCCGTGACTCCAAACCACCATTCGAATACTGCACCCCATACTCCAGGTGTTGAGGATGCTGGCCATCGCCGACAAGAACCGGGCCTCCGCCTGCACCAACCTCAACGACCACAGCTCGCGCAGGTGCTTGCCTCTTTTTCTCCGTGTAGAACCAATTGACTTGCGGGAAAGCGCGATGGAGCGTTTCTGACTTGTCTTGAGGAATTCCAAACTCGCCGGAAACAAAAATAAGGGAATGGATGTGGATTCCTAAATAAAGGAAGCCAACAATTCTTACTTGTCGTGTTGTTTGAGAACCTTCGGTAGTTCATGGTTCATGTTCTCATAAACAATATTCTACTCTTTGACTACATGTATGTACGAAGCATGCGACTCATCTCCCCAACTGTCACCCCCCTTGCCCGCATGCCCCCAGTCACTTGATTTTGTCTGTCAATGTGGACGGAGTGAACAGGCACACCGGGGCGACATCGGCGGGCCGATTGCATCTCATCGATCTGGCGGGGAGCGAACGCATCAGCAAGGTGTGGAACACTTCTCGGCCACTGCTACTGGTAACGTACCGTCAAACCACAGAAGAATTGCGACACAAACACTCTGTGCTCGCCGCCACCCCCAAACACTCACACGATAGCATGGTCCCAACACGAATTTTCCCCGCACATTGTTCATTTTGTGACATTTTATTTTCAAAAAAACATATATGCGACGGCGTGTGAATGTGGTATATTCACAGTCTGGAGCGGCCGGCCAGGCGCTGAGAGAGGCACAGAATATCAACAAGAGCTTGAGTGCTCTCGGGGACGTGATTGCGGCGAGGGCCTCCCGCCAAGGCCACGTCCCTTATCGCAACTCAACCTTGACATACCTTCTGCAGGTCAGTGATTCAATTATTCAAGTGCATGTATGAATCACCTTCTTTATTTTTTCTCGAGCCTCCGTCGGTTGTCGTCTCCCTCGTGGTTTGTGTTTAGGGAGCTGCGTATGTTCACCGAGGTGGTCCATGATTCGCGTGCGTCGCCTAAAGCATCTCTGCAGTACTATAAGTGATTAAGCAAGGGGCAACGGAGTGTGGTCTCGCCTCCATGGGCAGAGGCACCACACGATGCCTTCAAGGCATATTCACTCGAGCTCGAATCTTCCGCAAGAGCTACATACATGTACGACATTTTCCTTTGAAACTCACTCACTCGCCTACCCTGCCTCGCAGGACTCGCTGAGTGCCGACTCCAAGACCCTGATGCTCGTGTGCGTGAGCCCGGTCGTGCAAAGCGCCGAAGAGTCCTGGTGTTCCCTCAACTTCGCCGCCAGGGTTCGCACCGTGGAGCTTGGAAAGGTGTGGCAACGTGTGAAAAGATGTGAACACATGTGAAAAATTTTTGAAGCGTGTGTGAAAACGTGTGAAAACTTGCGTGAAAACGTGTGTGAAAACGTGTGTGAAAACGTGTGAACACGCGTGAAAACTTGTGCCAACATAAGATATGAAATCATGTTGAAACATACATGTGAAATCATGCGACAGACAACATGCGAAAACACAAATGAAATACTCGAAAAAATCTTCCTTCACGTCGAGGCTCTGCATAAAATTGGTGGTGGCGTGCAATATTGTATGCAATGTATGGATAGCTATGTTCAAATGACAGTAGTCAATGTCGATGAGGTCCGCACGGCCCATGCTGTGGAAGGTTCGAATAAATAGTATACCCCCTAGAGCTTTGAGGAGGCACTAGCTGTTTCAGTCGCACTCCTAATGCAAGACGACCTACCCTCTCTGTCCACCCAGCATCGCGCTACAAACACCAACAATCGATGCCTGCTTGATCTCGACAACGACATGTTATTAGGCTCACAAGCATGGCGCGAGCGGGGCGTCCGCTTAAGGCGTCGGCGCTGTTCCGCTTTCGTCCCCGGCTGGACTTCATTGAAACGGTTACTTGCACCCAGTTTACGCATTTTATTTGCGAGGGAAAGACTGGAGGGGAGAGGGGAGCACACCCAGGAACCCTGCAACACCATTGAGATAGCTTCATTTGCGCGTAGTTTAGGATACGGTGTACAGTAGCAGTAGCTCTTCTGCCGTAGGTTTCGAACTGACTTTGTCGGAATTTTCGAAACTCGCCTGGATTTTTTCATGGCGCCTCGCCGACACCCGTTGCGCGACGGCGTCACATGAGCGAACGGCAAGTTCCATAACAGCGGCTGATGGCGATGAATCGATGAACTTTGCCCCGAGTCACATGGTGCTTCTGTATCCTGTCTCGCATCCGTGCTTGGGTACGCATTGGTACGTGCATGTCAAAAGATCAGGACCGAATCGGACTCAGCACCCACCGAAACCTTGAACCAACTCTGAATGTTACGTACCACAGTACATTAGCGGACAGGGCCTCTCATCGCCAAACCGCCAGCAGAAGACCGCAGGAGTGAATTCAACTGCACGTAGCCCGTTTCTGCCCTTGACCCCGTTCGACGAGCGTTTAGCAGCCATGGTGCGTATGATTGACTGTCACAACCGGAGGCCCCGTGATCCAATCGAAGCCGTACATAGAATACGACTCTTGTTGTGCATGTAGGTTCCCAACTATCGAGTGTCGAAATTATTCTTGTTCTACAGCAGTCGTAGGATAGCGTCGACTCAGACACAGTTGGGGGTCGATTCTTCACACTCGCACCACCACGCGCAACAGCTCGCGATCATACGAAAATCGAACAATAATGACGAGAGCAGCACCAATCCAGGTGGTTGTACACGTGGTCTTCCTATCCCCAAATGCAACAGGCCGAATGAAAATGCTAATAGAGGCATGTTCATCCAATATATAGGAGGTTCGAGGGTGCGATAACGAGCCTGAAGTCACACAATCGTTTGGGTGCGATGGATTCAACGGCACTTGCTTTAGATTCGCTGGTTCCCTTACCCAGGAAGCACTTGTAATGTTTAGTCGCAACGTCGCAACAGAAACTGAAACCCATAAAATTCCTCGAATTGGTCGTGAGGTTCACAACGACATGAGGAGGCTTGGTCGCCGTACTTCCAACATTCTTGACGTGACAACAACAAACATGCCACGAGTTACATTGAGTGCACACCCAGCCACCATAGTTCGGCCGTCAGTCTTGTGCTGAACATCTAGCCGCTTGTTGTAGACCTCAAAAAGTATCATCTTCATAAGCCAACAACTGCAGAAAGAATAACGGGAAAACTCGACAGACAGCAGAGCGAGCTGACACAGACCGTTCCCCTAACGTATGCACACAACCCCACATGACGATTTCGATCGAGCTTACAAGCCCGATAACAAAATCGCAAAATGGGGCCCCACGTCGCTTTATCTATCCTTGCCCTTTGCCCAACGACACCGCAAGCATCAACGCATACCACGCTATGCATGACACCAGGAAAGCGCCACGCCGGTCAAGACGGTAGGATTTTCTCCCAACGCACACTCACACATATTCAGGCCACTTCCCCCCTCTCGCTCGGAGCTGGGGCTGTGGTCAGTCAAGTAGTCGAAGTGTCTCACGCTTCTCCTCATCCGTCTCCCCGTCATGAATCAAGAAATCAACCCACCAAATAGCAGCTCTCGGAAACACCCTCGAAAACAAGGAGGCGGGGTGTGCCTCTTCCCCCAGGGCACCTTCCTTCGTGACGGGGGTAATCATACCTCCCCCTAAAAAATCCCGTCAAAACGTCGTCCCCCGTTACTCAGGGGCAAGCAAGGCTCAAGATCTTACGCCCTTGATTCTTTGTGAAGCACCCGATAATAACCACAGCAAAGCGCCCGCGCAGGGGCTCCTCTTCACCATCCCACCTAACCTCTATTTGTGGCTCAATCGGCCCTCTTTTAAAACCTGCCGGCAGGGGAATGGGAAGGAGGCAGATTGGGCGGCAAGGAGAATGATCGGTGAGATAGGTGTCAAAGAAAGTGAGCGGTAGCAGCGGTCATGCCAAAGGACGGAGAGGATGCAAGATGTAGAGAGCGAAGAAAAGCTACGCGTCAGCAAACAGATTCGGATCACTCTCCGCCGAAAAAGTTCATTCGGCATCATCCTCATATATCAACTACAATCAGGCAGCAAGAAAATTTGCATAGGTAAAGAGCAAACCAATACAACAAAGCAAAGTCATATCACCGTACTCAATTCAAAACACGAGCCAAATACAAGACCAGAATAAACCAAGTAGATCGACCGACCTGAATCAGCACAAACACCACCACCAAAAACAACAACACCACTACAAACCACCACCACCACCACCACAAACACCATCCACCAAACACCAACAACAAAAACAACACTACAAACACCAACAACCACCAACTCACCTGGAGGGCCTCCGCGATGTTCCCCTGCCGCACCAGCACGTACACCGCGGTCCTAAGCACCGCTCCACTGCCAGGACATATCCCCATCGCCGTCCTCGCACACCGCTCCGCCTGACCAAGGCTCCCCGACAGAGCGTGCACCACAGCAAGGTTAGCGTGGAGAGACGCCCGAGCCTCCTCCGCTGCCTTCGGAGACAGAACAACCCCGCCCCCTCCACCAACTCCTCCGGCCGCAGGGGTCTTTGGCGCCCCTCCCGCCGCTGCCGCTGCTGTCGCCGCAGCAGCAGCAGCAGCGCTTGCAGAGCTCGACCATGCGTCTGTGGCGGTCGTGGATGCGGAGGCGGCGGCGGCGGCGCTGCAGGCGTTTTCGGAGATAGGCGAGAGGTGCTCCAGGGCTTCTGCCGGGCGGCCTAGTAGACACAAGGCCTCCGCGGCGTAGAGGTGGGCGAGATGCCTGCTCTCCGTCAGGGCAGCAGCCGCAAGGAGGAGAAGACAGCACGAGAAGGGCAGCGCAGCGGGGTCGTGAGAAGACGCGAGCAACACAAGACGGCATGAGAAAAACGGTTGTAGAGATGTGTACGTGTATGAGAGGGGAGATGCTCAATGCTGCAAGCTGATTCTTTTGAATGAGGGGGGGAGGTCTGTCTTCGATCTTCGACTTTCCGTAGGCAACACGATGGTGGGACGCGCGATTGGCGAGACGCTTTTCGTCGTTAAGAAGTATTGAACGTAAACAAAACAGGATAAGCGGTTAATCACTTCATGTGAGGACATCTGCTGCTAACAGACAAACTCGAAGCCTCGTCAGGAAAACATGTTCCGAGAAGTTTTGGGGATGTTGAAGGCGCGGTTCTTGTGTGTGCGCGCGTGTTTGTTGATGACGGACATCGCGATGGTTGAAAAAAAAAGAAAGAGGTGAGACTGCTGTGCCGTTAATATTGAAAGTCATGACATCGAAACGCCCAGAGAGGAACCAGCTCACCAACCAACACGCAACGCCTACATTCTCTATACAGTTACCTAGCCTCTGTTCCATGCAAACACTACCGTTGTTTCTCGGTTCTTCGCGTTCCGTGCCAGAGAGGCCTCGCAACAAGAGCGCGCAAGGGAAGGGAGCACGACCCCCACACAGCAGTGGAGGTGTGCCCGAAGGAAAGGATCAAGATCAACACTGCTGCTGTAGGCGTCCAACAACCCAGGAGAGATAGCGCTGGTGTGCGTGGCACCCATCCATCCATCCATCCATCCGTCTATCCATCCCACATGAACTCACGTGCTGACGGCGGAGGGATTTGTCTCGAGCAAGCGCCCCGCGTAGGTTAGCGCCGAGACCGGGTCGTCGAGCCCCAGGTGGACGTACGCGAGGTCAGCAAGCGCCACCTGCCCAAGCAACAAATGTACAGGAGGGGGGTAATACGATAGTCAGTCTCAAACGAAAACATGATGCAAAGAGTTTTGTGTGGCCACCGATTGGAGATAGCTCCTACCCGTCAGAAACGCTGCAAGCGCTGATTGGGGGGGGGGGAAAGAGATAGAGCAGGTAGGAGGACCGTCTTGCTTTCGCGGCTGCCTTCGGCGAATGGAAATGAACAGCGGGGGGTTGTGTTTAGGCTTGAATGTTTCACAACGTGCCGCGCATCGATTTTCAGTCAGATCATGCTCACCACTTACCCCAACTATCGCAATCACAAATAATACCATAAACACCAGCAAATAATCCACAGCAACAACGACGATCGGATGCAACAGCAGCAGCAGCAGCAGCAGCAGCAGCAGCCGCGAAAGAGGTATGCATCTATTCTACTGCGCACGACGCATCACCAACGTTGCAACGGCACCAACAACAACACCAAGAGCACCACCACCGCATATGACACAAGATAACACATCCCTTCGACCGATCAAGGCTCGATTTATCAACAGCAGAAAGTGTCGCAGCGCCGAAAACGGCGGCGGCGTTGAAGCCGCCTGGTCGATAGCTCTCCGAAAACGTATCGTTTCGTTCATGCATCCTCCTCGTCGTGGAGTAACCGAGCTTTGAAAATCGGTCCAGGGGGTGTGATATCTTGTGTCATGCCACCTACGGCACTACACCCACCCGGTAGAGCTCCTCCGCCATCACGCTGTCGCCATCTCCCGCCGGCGTCGCCGCCCCCCCTCCTCCACCGTCCGCGTTGTTGCTGCTGTGCCCACCCTCCGCGTTGTTGCTGGGAGCCAGCCCCTTCGCCACCAGCCGCGTGGACATGCCGAGGACACTCGGTTGTCCCCCTAGGAGGCCTGCTGCTCCCGCTGCGGCCGCTTTCTTTACGCCCTGCCCACACAAGAAAAAAAAAAGAGAGAAAAAAAAAAAAGCCGGAAAAAAAACGAGCAAAAATCAAAACAAGGATGCAATCGGGGTGAAAATACGATACGGAACCTAGACCGAAGGTCGATTTCGGACGAAAAAAGAACGAGCAAAAATAGTACGAAGATGCAATCTGGGTGAACATACGATAGGGAACTTACATCTGAGGCCGATGTTGGACGCAAAAAAAGCGAGCAAGAATAGTACCAAGGATGCAATCTGAGTGAAAATACCACAAGGACTCTCCATCTGAGGTCGACTTTGGACGCAACAAACTCCCTGACGTTCTTCACCGAAAATATATGAATCGAATCAACCAACCACCATTGGGTCCTCCTTCCCCCCGCGCACATGGGCTTACCCCCCCCCCTCCACCATTGGCAAAGTAGCAACGAACGATAGGCCATCAGCGACCGATGGGAACAACGCTCCGTCCTCTCGAGGACACGTGGTCGATGATCCAACAACTACCTATGGCATGCGGTAACATGAGTACGTCCCCGATCCGCATTGCCTCACCTGCTTACGCGCCGCACACAGGTACAGCACGTTGTGCAAACACCGGCTAGCGTGGGCCAGAGAGCAACCTCCTCCAACTGCTCCTCCTCCTCCTCCTGCCGTGCTCCTTCCTCTCTTCCCCGCCGTCGCCGACCTCCCCCCCCCCGGCGCCGTTGCTGAGCCCCCGTTGCTGCTCTCCGGCGCGCCGCCGCTGCCGCCGCCCGCGGCGGCGCCGTCCTCGTCAAGAGCGGGGATAGCACCGTCTCTGTCTCGCCTGCGAGCGTGAGGACGATGCAGAAATATTATTTTTATCATACAACTCGGATGCACCAGAAAGGATCGACTGCTCGCAAAGAAGAAGTGGGTCATCGTGTTCTTGTTATGCCTTTTCTTATCCGTCTCGTTTTCGGCCCAAAAAGGGACAGCAAAAAAAAAAGCGTAAGAAGTAGCTTAGCCTGACAAGCGCACGCACGGACGGTGGTTGTTCAAACACCGGAGGCGCGTACCAGAGAAAATGCACGCAATTCAGATCGATATCTGCACGTACAACTCTCACATCGCATTGATTTTTCTTGGCGCTGACACCCCGCCTCCTCGCTCACTACACATCCCACCCGCACCGGCCCGGTTACACACAGTCCCCGTGCACTACGGTACCCTTTACCTGGCTGAGTCACCGCTGCCACCGCTGCCGGCGGCAACGCCTCCAGAGGAGTTCCGAGGTAGCAGCACGCGTCGGTGTTGGCCTTTTCCCACGGGGGTCCAAGGAAGCGGCCCCCTCCCCCCCGCCGCAGCATCTGGCCCCGCGGCAGCGCCGGTAGCTGACGATGGTTTCGACCCGACTGGGCTCGTGGTGGTGAACGGGGAGCCGCTGTTGCCGACGCCGTTGCTGCTGAGGCGGTGTCGGGCGATGCTGCACTCCGCCATCCGGAGCCATAGGTGGGGGCGGTTGTGGAACAGCAGCGCCGCGCGCTCGAAGCAACGCAGGGCCTGCGGCAGAGGAGATCAGCGCCGGGCCGGCACGCAGATTGCGGAGGTGGAAGCGTGGCATCGGGGGGGGGAGCGCAGTGTGGTCGTGAGTGGGAGGGGGTGTACTCGAGTAAACGCATGGTGCAGTCCTTAGATCATAGACTTCGTGTCCCAATTATGCAGGGAGGGAGCCGGGGCTGGTTTCCAGGCGAGCGAGCTTGAAGTGCCGTTACAGCAGTAGGCTGGGGCGACGGGAGCACATATAACGAACCGTAGTTGCAATGATGAAAACCGGAGATGTACGTATTGCTTCTCGCGTGGTATGTGTCCCGTTGTTGCTAAGGAGTGAAATAAATGACTGCCGAAAATCGTAATCGAGATGATCATGTCGGTTGCCTCAGCTGTCTCGGCAAGGCGAGGGAGGGGGGGTGCTATCGGGCAATCCCGTCACCAGATGCAGGCATGCCATCACCACCGCCAAGAGTCAATATCCTTATCCTTACGACAGCACAATTCTTGTCGCTATCCTCAAGTATCACTTCCATCACTACCACCATACAACCGACAGCCACAGCAACACCGCCGCTTCATCTTCACTTTCAAGCATTGTACGTTACGCCGCCATCACCACTTACAACACCGTTCCACAAAAAACCGAAACAACATAAAACAAAGTTCACCACGACAAGGACCCAAGAAAATAAACCACGTACAACAGCCTCATGGTATCAATACAATGGACACCAACTTCCCGTAGGTTCCAAGATACTGGTACCCGATTTTCAAAGTCCGAATATTCTACGGGAAAGGGGATGCACAACACAACGATAGGTTGTACCAAGTGACCAACATGGGACAGATGGAACGAGACGGTTGGTCCTGACGCCGCCATTTTCAGCACCGTCACTATTACTACAGTCATACGTTTCATAATAACAGAGATTTGCCAAGAGGGTGTGTGGTATCTAACGCAAGCAACGACAAGGACGCTCGCTCGCTCACCTCCTCGGGCTTCTCGGTGAGCAAGAGCTGTAGACCGGTGTTATACAACACCTCACACGTTGGAGCGGGTGACACATGACCGTCCTTCCCACCGCCCCGCCCTGCCGCCGCCGCCTCGCCACCAACATCCGCCCCCGCTTCCCCGCCCTTGCCCAACGCCTCCAGCGCCTTCTGGAAGTAGTGAAGGGCCACATGGTGCCGCTTCAGCTTATGATGCAAGCAGCCCTGATGGTCATGACGAATCAGCATGCATAGAGGGAGAGAGAGAGAGAGAGAGAGAGAGAGAGAGAGAGGATTGGCGAGAGGGCAAGGGTCCCTCCAGGCTATGCTATATGGCATGGGAATTAGGAGTGGGGGTTGCGTATGGCAAGGTAAAATGAGAGGCTGTGATGCATCCTAGCACAGTGTTTGACAGACGAGGCCCTGTTCGTAATGCTACGAGGGTGAAGGTGTTCTTGGAGGATACAGTACGATTCAGATCGTTGTTATCCCTGTCGGATATAGCGCGTGAACTACGTTCGCGGCAACAGTTGCGTGAGTGTCTGTATGAAAAAAGGGGCAGCATATGCAGTCGAGTCAGTCAACCAACGGGAATCGATCGCCTCCCCCGGGAACAAACTAGTAATACTTCTCGCCCGGCCCCCAAATAAAAAAAATGCCACCCAGACAGCAGAGCAGCGGTAGATGAAACAAAAACAAATTAGAGAAAAAACACTCCCCCGTCTTTCCAGGGTCTGGTTTTTTACCCGAACTCCTCCTGTACTCCATAGGGAAGCCAGACGAAAATTAATCATCATCAACAACAATACAACAACCCCCCCACAAAAAACCACAATAACAACAACAACAACATCCCTACCATATTGTTGAAGTAGGGAGGACCAACCGCCTCCCCGGGCCCCGAGTACTCCTCGGCACCCTGAAACCCGTGGCACGACGCCAGCAACTTGAGAGCCTTCCGGTGGTTATCCCGCAGGTACTCCAGGTTTGCCTGGCAGAGGCGTCAATACGGTACGGTATCGGGGCATGGGGGAGTACCCATGTCAACGAATGCCGCAAGGGGTTCTCCCAGTGGAAAAAATGAAGCATCCCCAGGCAAAGCGTTAATCTTGGTCGCGCGAGGTGTACTCATGTAAGCGCATGCCGTAGTCGATAGACTGTTGACCTCCCGTCCCAACGATGCCGGGCGGAGCGATATGCCGGGTTTTCGCAGGCCCAGGCTATGTTTCACAAGACAAGGATGAACCAGAAGCTGACATCATCCTCGCGTTTGCTGCGCCAAACTAGATGTAACCAAACGGTTTATTGGGCATCCCAGCTGTAACCAAACGTTTCACGTCCGGTAGGCACCGTAGTCGTTAGACTGTTGACCTCGCACCCCTACAATGCCCGGACGGAACGATATATCCGGTTATCGTGCTCATGCATCTACTGATAATGACCACAGGCGTCCCTGTCTTGACGGAGCACGCCCTGCTTCCCGGGCGTGAGACTTACAGACCTCGGGCTCTACATGGTTGTTGCCGACCATTACAGGATATTTATTCCCTGGGTGCAGAACTAGGACGGAATTCGCGGGTGCTGAACGAACCAAGGAGGACAGTAGGACGTAAGAAGAGCGTACAACATCAAGACAGCTAAGACCAACCAAAATAGCACCCGCCCCCGCCCCCGCCCCCGCACCACAACTCTTGAGCCACCTTTGGCAAAGTAGGAAGGAGCGATTGGCTATCGGTGATCGGTCCTGTGGGAATAATGCTCCGTCCTCTCGAGGACGCATGATCAATGGTCTAACCGCTACACGCAAATCATAAGAGTAACGCCCCCCCCGTGCAGCAACGCAGGATCCTTAGTGCCGATGAAAAGATGCAAGCTCCAGTGCCTGCCTAAAGCAGGAGGACTCACCTTGAGGTACAGCGCAGCCATGTTCTGGACACCGGCAGGGGGTACAGGGGAGAAGGTCCCCTGCTGCTGCTGCTGCTGCTGCTGGCCGCCGGCGCCCCCTGCCCCCCCCCCGCTGGCCGCATCGCCAGACCCCCTCAGCTCCCGTTGGAAGATCTCCAGTGCGCTCTTGATCTCCTTCTTGGACGTCTTGGTCTATTGTAGAGGGCAACGTCGGGCGGCGTGTTCGAAAAAGCGAAACATTGGCAATGACCTGGCAAAACATTGACATTGGCCATGACCTGGAGAGGAGGGGCTCTACTTCGACCGCCTTCGCGAGCATATTACGAGCTGTTTGTGAAATACAGAGGGGGGTTTTCGTAACCCTAAGCCTACCCCGTACCCCCTACAAAAACCAAGCTTATTTGTCCTCGCGAACGCTGCTGCTCCATTTCACACCAGAGGCCCTGGGAGTAGGGGTAGGGTAAGGCTGGCCGGGAAAACAACCAACCGTTCCGGACATGGAACTCGCCTGAAACGGATACACTAAATGACGGGTTTGCAATGTGGGGAGTGTTTTTTCTCTCTGGAACTTACAGCCGGCGGAGCAGATGGGGCTTTTGCACTTTGTGCAGTCGAGGAGGTGCGGACCCCTCCCCCCATCCTGCCAGACTACATCGGAAAACATCTTGTGACGAATTGGAAAAGTTCCAGTCGGGGGTAACAAAAGCAGCCATCAGCGGTGTACACGGTGGCGCCGGAGCTGTGCAGGGCAGGGCACCCTGCCTGCCACGCTAAACCCGGCCTTGCAAAGGGGCCAGTGTGCGCTTACTGCTGAATAGGCCTTCCTCTCGTCCCTGTCGCGAAGGTTCTGACCCACCTGCTCCTGCAGCAGCAAAACCTTGGCCTTGTACAGGTGAAGCCGGAACGCAAACTCCGTCTGCTCCGCCGAGCCGCCGCTGCCGGTGTCATCCTGCTGCTGCCGCCCCGAGTCACCGCCACCGCCACTGGAGACCCCCGGGAGAAGAAACGCAGCAGTGGCACAAGAATATGAACGCCGTCCGAAAATGGTAACCTCGACCACGACGACAACAGTACTCGGAATGCGAAGTCAAGTACCGCAAGTTTCCTCGGACAAGAAAGCATTGGCACAACAAAAACGCCATCAGAAACACGGGAAACCTCAACCGCCATATTCGGTCTGTGAACCAAAGTACCGCATGTTCCCAATCGATCAGTCGTACGGCAATGGCCAAACACGACGTCGGGGATAAAGAAGCTGAGGCATGCACGGTACACAAGCAGAAGGCCACAGCAGCGTCAAAACCAAACTGGCGCCGCAACTGTTCTCACAGAGGCGTTATGGCAGCGACGTCAACGGTAAAAATATGGTTCAGGGGGTATAGTACTGTATGCATATGTAGGAGGTAAGCGGTGTGAATTCCGTTTCGGATTTGTCGCTGTGGGCGGAGCGAAAGGTACGGATAATTGTAACCCCTCCCGTTGGACGGGCTTTCAAAACTCGATTGCACCGTAACCAAGAGGTATATCACAAACGCCAACCGACACGTTTGAAGAAACCTTTCGGTGAGAATTTTCTCCCAAGATCTACCGCTGTCAGAAGTATAAGTAAGTCCCGTTGGTTGGGGAACTATCGAGCATTGCAAGTGGGTCGGGGGTTGTGGGATTCATACTTCGGGTAAGGAGGCGTTTTTTCTGGCCTCTTTCTCTCGCGACCGTTAGCTCGTGGTACAGTAGTGTATCTGCCTGGTGATCCAGCAGCAGCGAAGTCGCCTCATCAGTGATCCTGTCTTCACGTATTGTTCCTCCAGATCATTCTAATAAAAAAACGGTGCCATGAGGTGTAGAATCCAGATGTTGTATGCGCCACTGTTAGAAATTTCTGCATCCTCTCGATCGTTGCCAACACAAGGTGAGCTCTCACTCTGGGAGAGTGATAACTGAAAGCATGCTTGTCAGCATCGTTTTCGTAGACAACACGGGTTGGCCGGTGGGAAGGGGGCGGTTGTGCACTTGCTTGATCGTCCTCTCTAACCAACTGCTGCTCCGCTGTGCGAAAGTTTCAGCAGCACGTGTTGCAGTTCCATGCACGGAACAATCTCAGACCACCGTTCCGATCCAGGAGCGATTTATCTCGTACCTCTCGTGTTCTACAGGAGTAGATAGCCTGGTGTTTAGGATACCCGTGCTGGGAAACGGAGAACAGCAGTTGCTTTGGTGTAATGACCGCAATCTTGGCACAGACAGCACCACAGCAAGAGCGACGTCAGTGTAGTGATGCCAAATCCCTTCGGAGAACAACGCTGAGAAAATCCTTCAAGCACTGACTCCACAACTTGGCGTCACAACGAACAACATCACACGCTACCCGTTCCCCTATTCGACGACCACCCCAACGATCAACCCATGGCACACAACACCAAGCAACAACAGCAGCGTGTGAAGACTGCGGAAGACGACTACACAGCTGCCGTGCACCGCTGCTGCTGCTGCTGCTGCTGCCGCTGTTGCAAGCACAACATTATACAGTGCAGTAGAGGCTGGCTGGCTACTCGAGGAGAGCTGTTTTGTGTTGTCTCTCTCACCTATCGCCGCCACCGCCCGAAGAGTTGAGCGCGTGGGGCCGCTCCAGGAACGCCAGTACCGCCGCCGTCTGCGCCGAGAACCTCCTGAGGTTGTCCTCTGTGTGGAGGTTGCCCCTGGCCGAGTGGCACAACACGTCCAGCAGCAGCAGGCAGATGTGGATCGCGAGGCTATCGTCCAGGGGCTCCATGTGCAGGAACAGCCGCTCCAGCACTGCCTGGGCGGCCCCGTACTGCTTCTGCTGGAAGCGGAGCGCGCTCAGGTTGTAGAGGAGGACGGAGGCGTCGACGTCGAGCTCGGCCAGCCCGGCAGCCGCCGTCGCAGCCGCCCTGGCCCCGCCGGAGGTACCCACCACAAGCGTCCCGGTCAAGGCGCGGCTGCTTCGCCTGGAAGCGTTGGCTTGCTCCTGGTCCGAGGCGTCGTCGTCCTCGTCGTCCGAGTTGTTGTTGCTGCCGTCGCCGCCAGCGCTTGCTCTGGCCAGGCGGGAGTGGATGGCGCGGAGCGTGGACTCGAGCTTGGCCGGGTCGGCGAAGCCGCGGGCGCCGTGCTCGCTCAGGGCGAGGTTGTGCTGGGCCCGGAAGTCATTGGAGGCGTCGGAGGAAGACCCGCCGGCGTCGCCGCTGCTCCCTGGTGCAACCGAGAGGCTAGAGAGGTGGGAGAGGGCCTCGCTGTACTTTCCCGCGGTGTATGACGAAAGGGCTTGGGTAGCCATGCTACTTGTGCAGTCCTTGGCCTAGTGCAAGGAGACAACAACAACACATTTGCTCTGCTGTCGGCAGTCGGCGGGGGCACCCGCACATTGCGCAACTTATCGGATGAATGTGAGGGGGAGTTCTGTCTATCGATTGATGAGTGCCGGATTGATGAGTGCGTCGCCCCCTTGCCTCGCTCGCTGGCTGTCCGGGGTCTCTTTGCTTGTCGCTCTTGGCAGGCACGCACCACTACAGCACCCCGCACCACCGCCCAAAGCAAAAGGAACCATGGCAGACGAACACAGTATCACTCCGGACGAGAGGTGCGTCCTACATCGTTTGTTGCTAACTTGCTGTTTCCGGCACTCTCCTTTCCTGAGTCGCCTTCATGGCGGGTTGTAGTCCCTCTCTCACTCGTCTACCGCCAAAGGGTTGGGTAGGATAGCAAAGTTTGTATCAAGCCTCCATATGATCCTTGTCAAGCGGTACCCGCTCCGGTTGATGATCACCCTTCGGCCGTTTGCTCTGCTGTCTTGAGTTGGATGGCGATCCAAGAGGGATTTTCGTTACATCGGCAATGCGTTGTATTGATTTTGATCTTTACCCACTGCTCCCTCGGAGAGCCGCACAACACCAGCAACTAAATTATATCAACCCCGATGCTGCACATATCGGGACGAAGCAGCCAACGTTGCTCGGCTTTCCAACTGCCCGGGGTGTGCATTCCAGGGTGCATAACCTAGATATGCTTGTTCCAGGTCTTGTGCAAGGCACTTGGTGTAATATTTTGCAAGCATTTTTCTCACGTCCTCGCGAGCGTGGGTACTACTGTTGCCCCCCCCTTCTCTCGGCACAGCAAAAACGGGTTGTAGAGTGTATGTACACTCCGTTTCTGGATGGAAAATCCGACACAGGTGGCGTGGATTCTATCAGAGTGCGCGCAGCGTTGCGGTGTTACCCGCCCCCCCGGCCTACGCCCTCCGTGTTCCGCGCTGCCATTCTCATTTTTTGCTCCCCACCTGTACTCACCGACCTCCACGTGTGCTGTCTTTGTATTATCATATTGTAGTAGTGCCTGTGGTACGTAATGAATCCGAGTGACTCGCCCCCCCCCCCCCCCCCCTCCCAAAGCCCAGATATCAAAACCCAAACTTCACCCAAAAATTTAACAACTTATAAATACAACCT